AGGGCTTGGGCTTCCGGGGAGTTTGGATTTTAAGGTTTTCAGCTTTTAGGGTTCAGTGTTTAGGTTTTTTGGGGTTTAGGGTTTTTGGGGTTTAGGGTTTTTAGGGTTTAGGGCTTTAGGGTTGTAAGGTTTAGGGAGGTTAGGGTTTTCAGGGTTCAGGGTTTGTAGGGTTCAGGGTTTTTAGGTTTAGGGTTTCTAGGCTAGTGAGGTTTCTAGGGTTTTTGGCTTGGTGAAATCTAAAGTCTTCTCTTGGGGTTAACCTTTGGTCAAATCCAACATCATCCTTTAGGGTTTACGGTTCTCAAGGGCAACCAACATTTGCATGACACATAGAGCCTCTCCACAAGTACTGTTAGGGTTTAAGGTTTAGGGGTTTGAGGTCTAGGATAACGCGCGAAAAAAGACACAGATAGCGCAAAAATAAAAGACACAGGTATCCCCCCAAAAAGACACCGATCACGCATATACTTGGTCGCAGGCAGCAATTTCCGGAGACATCGCACGAAAACGACAAGAAAAAGACACAGATCACCCCCTTTCCGCCCAGACTGGCTCTTCAAAAAAAGCGTATAGCACGCCTCGATGAAGTCATGCGACACGTCCAGTTCGACCTGACCAAGATGGCGGGTGATGCTGAGCTGCTCCACCATGCTGGGCTTTGGGTCAGCTGTCGCAAGTGGACAATTTTGTGAGTGCACGCCTAACGGCCTCTGCTGTGCACTGGTGCATCGCGACTCAGACTATTCTAATTGAGGCATCTGCTTTGTAGCGTCTGACCTTTGGCTGAAAGTCGGGTGCGAGCTTACCTCCTAGCATGGAAGCTGCACAAATTGCACTTGAAATCATCCAACATGCTTGGACGCCGCCTTGCACTCGCACACCAACCACCTACAATTCGCATCAACTACATAAAGCAGGCCTAGATCAGGCGGCTGTCACAACGGCAAACGGCCTCCGTCTCTGCTCCGGACAATTTGGAAACCTGTGCTGCGCTTGCTACAGTAGGCACTCATTTGATCGTCAAGTGAGATATGAGTGAGGGACAGAAACGCGGTACCATTGCTCTGCTCCCGTCCTTTGCTGAAAGGACCGTAGCCATTCCCTGGTCCCACACACTTTAACATTATCTGAGAGCATTGCGCTGGATCGCGAGCGCAGATGTTGGACTCCTTTTTGTCGGCCTTGCCTCCGGCAGCGCCAGATGAGTTCTCGAGCCCGGCGGCAATTGCAGTGCGGCCCAGCAATACCAAATTCATGTTGGCAAAGCAATTCCTGCTCAGGGCTTCCCGAGACATGGTGAGATGAGGCAATTCCAAATCAAGCTTTGAGGTGCTTTCGGGAGGTGGAAGCTTAACAAAGCGAAGCCAGGGAAGCTGAGAGACATCAGTGCTCCGTATCAGGCCATACAAGGAATCCAACTACACTCACCCACCACGTTGGTAGCACTGCTTGGAATACTGTTCTGACGGCGCCCTTTGGCTATATGTGCTCGCTGCATATGCATCCTGCCGCTGCAACTCTTGGCCTTCATGTACGGATGGTGCGAGAAATGGCCGGTTTGGGAGGCCGCCAACTTCGCACCCTTAACTGCAACAATCTCCATGCTGCCACTGTGCTTTCATCGAGGCCTTGTTCTGGCTTCGCGTCGATGGAGAAAGTGTCCATCGAGAAGTCCAGGACGGCCGACTTGGAGTAACCCATGTTGACATTGATTGCATTGCAACTTTTGTTGGCCATGACCCTGGCATAGCTGAAAACATCCGGAGCGAAGGGAGGCTGCAAGTCCACCTGATCACGAGTCTGCTCACTCCACGCTCATTGGCTCTCTATTGGCGTACCGCGTGATCTCGGGATCGAAGCTGCATCGAGGCCAGCCCACATCCATCTGCGAGGGCCTTGGAAGCTTGAGTGCGTCTCACAAAGACACTGAGGCAAGCTAATGCAAGCAGCATCTCAGGCCATGGCACACCCCGCAAATGCGATTGCCAAGGCATGCCTTTGGTATGAGGGTGAACCGGTCAGTCCCTCAATGCATCAGCGCAACCTGCCTGCGGACTGCACTTGGCAATGCCAGCATTCAGCATCAGGATCCGAAAGCTTGTCTGCTTGTGCCAGCTGGGTTGAGATTGCAAGCTTGCTCTGGTGTGGCAACGCTGGCAGTGTTGTACTCTGGTTGGTTGCGCCGTGGTAGGGTGTCTGCAGTAACTGATCCGGACAATGTGCGTCGAACTCAGCAAGCACTGGAATTACGAGACACGTTCAGCAAAATTCGTGGCAGCATTGCCGAACTTCGCCATCCATTCCCTCACCTGCATCAACATTGTCAAAAGAGCACCACTTCTAGAATGTTTCATCTTGCAAGCGGGGCATTTCAAAGCCATCTTTTTCCAGCAACTGGTTACATGCTGTCAAAGCAAGTGAGCGCCATTTTCTCACAGGACCGGCCACCAAGGGCACATGTCCCTCAAGACAGGTAGCTTATCGAGGTTATACTAGAGTGTACACTCCATGTTGCCGGCAGACCTGAAACCATTTGCTTCCGGAAGCTTGACCAAGCGACACTGCTATTCGGATAGGCTTCTGGATGCGCAACTGATGACCCAGTGAAAAAAGGGAAAAGGAACGAGGAGCGCAGGGTCTCAGCACAGTGGCAGTGCGATGAGGACGGCAACGAGGAAAGGTTGTGCCCGATAAGTGAGCAAGATTGAGCAAGGATACCGATTCATGCTTTCCAGCCACCCTTGATTTGCAAGAAGCAAAATATTTGTATCCCGCTCTCCCACCGGTGCCTGCACGTGGCCTTGTGCCCTGCGAGCTCACGCCTTGCCTATTGATGAGTGGGATTGCTGCCGCCCTTACTATTGAAACATGACTTCTTTCTAGGCGCCGAGGTTGGAGAATCTCCAGCCAGAAGAGGCAACAGCAACTGCCACGGGCCGTGGGGGCTGTGTGGCCGGTGCTCCAGTGCAGGCTTTGCAAGCTGAGATGTTGAGCCCAGCAGACAAGAAGATGCAGCGCTGACAGTGCTTGCTCTGGTCTGCAGAAAAATGTTTTCTCTCTGGCAGAAACCATGTTTCCTGCTTTTGCCTTAGGTACTTAAAGTAAAACACGGGATAGTGGCCTGAAGCCATGGAGGTCGGATGCGGCAAATCAATGATGGAAGCTCAGCATCTTTTCCCAATCCAAAACTCCAGAATGTACACCGACATCTTGCCCTCTCATTGTGTCCTGTGACCGCGACCCTTGAGCGCTTTTCGACATGCACTGGTTTTAATCTTGCGCAGCTGCCTCTGCTTGCAGCACATCCTTTTCTGCATGCCTGCTCTTAAAGATTTTTTGTCCGTTTCGTGAAGGAGAGCGCCGAAGGAAACTTGCAGTCCAAGTAGTGGTGGCCTTGTGGTTCATACCACGGTGTTGAGCGGGTGGAAACAGCCTGGGCAGCAGGGCTTGCTCTCAGTTGCTTCGCCACCAAAGCCTCCGCTTCAACACGGGTTCCAACATGCTCGGATGGCGCAGCAGATCCGGCCTCACAGTTGTTGGTCAGTTCAGTTTCGACCCAACAGCACTGCGAAGCATGCGCTGCCTGGCGAGCGGAACCTCGTTGTCGAGAGCGACTGCGGTCCAAGCGCTTGACCTCGCATGTTCCAATCTTCGCTACTGCCTGTCATGTTGCTTCCCTGTGCTGTGACTCCAAGATAGGCCAAGGAGTTTGCAGCACGCACAACAGCATCCAGGGTGTCACTCGTGCCTTAGTGCAAGTGAGCTGTTTTGCGTGGCTAGTAGTCTTGCCAAATGGTCTTGGGAACTACTTGCAAATCTTGGGGCCTGTTTTGATGGGGCTGTGGCTCCCTTTGCAAGCAAGAGGGGTCTGTTACAATCTCTCGCGTGGTCTGCTACAATTTGTGGCATGGTTGGGCCAGCTAAATCTTCAGAACTAAAGGGTGACCTCGGTTACCTCCGTAAACACCTGTTTGAAGCCATTTGAAACTCCGCCCACAACCGTTCCTGCAGATCCACGCGACTATTTTGATTGAAAGCAGCCCTGGCTTTATGAGACCCAAACAGTGTATGTCGTACAGAAGCCCGTTAACACAGCATTTCGTCCAGGGCCGCTAACGCTCGCGTGAGCTTAAACAAGCCAGAAATAAGTGTACCGAATGCTCCTTAAAATCTTGAAAGGTGTGGTCGGCTCTCAGTCCTGTCGCCTGCATGCATGAGGGCAGCAGTCTGCAGGATTCTAAAGCAAAAAGCTCCTTCATGCCTGTAGCAGACACTGGGTCTCCCCCTGAGCTGCCAAAAAAGGGTGCTTGCAGCAGGATCCCCGAAATCTGCGATTCTGGCGTTTTAAGGAAAATTGCTTGGAATGTCTGGACTTCGTGAGCACGTGGTCCGCACTATGCAGAACAAGGATCTACGGAGAAGCAGTTGATGGGATAAAATGCTCGCGGTGGCAGTGGTGAAGAACGGAGCTGACTTAATAAGGATGCGTTTCCTTTGTCATCATCTTGAAGAATATCCAGTTGAATTTACCAGCCAAGGCTCCCATGAAGCCAACAGCAAAAGGTTCATCTGTAATAGTGGTACGTACTATTAAGTAGTACTAACAATCATAGAAGTCTTGCAAACTAGTACCAATAATAACAGAAACAATATACATTTTAAGGTTCTTATTGCTGAATGCTGGCTCTGATTCTGAACCCATTTGGGTTGTTTCCAGAGTGCGCACCCTAAAAGCTGCCGCTTGCTGGCTTAGGAACTACAAACGGGATGGGCAAGAAGCACGGTGCTGGTTTCTGAGTTTATGTGCTCGTGGCTGAGTTACTTATTTTTGCAGCAAAATACCCGCAGAGACTCGACATGCTGGTGGACTGCCGTAAAGAAACGGCGCACAGAACAAGGAAGCAGACATCTTCCAGCATCAACTCGGGGTCGTTACGTTACAAGGGCACAAGAGTGGCTGCAATGGCAGCTAAGAAGGCGTTCACCACCTATGCCTGCGTTTAGTTTGCAATGTCACGTGAGGTGAGAGAAGGGGATGGTTTGGCACATCTGCCGAGAATTGGACGTCGCTGCTGCTCCGTCAGGCTGGCAATTGCTCGACCGTGGCGAGCCGTGTTGTCCTGACATTTATGCCATGTTTGGGCATCATCGCATGTGACATCATGTGATGTGATCAAGCGAGCTATGGCGCCGAAACCCCGGCAAGTGAGAGATCCAGCTCCGAAGTGCCTCGCAAGGCAGCAAGTACTCTCCTTTCAACGTGTTTCAACGAGTCAGCAGCTGAGTGCTCGGCGATCCACTACTTCACCAATGATCTGCGTGCTGCTGAGTGCTGCCTGTGCCAAACAGATCTCCAAAAAGCCAAAGGTGAAAAATGGTCTCATTGCCTGCACCCCCTCGCGCAGTTCCAGGCACTGCACCAGGGCTTCACGATGCTGCAGGAGCTCCTTCAGGTTGCTAATTAAGATAGTTCAAGATCGGTCTTCACTCGCAATGGCTCCAGGACGCTCTCCCGAACCTGCAAAGCTAGGAAGAGCTGCGCTGCAAAACATGACAGCAGTGGTGTCACATGGTCACCTCCAAACACTGCTCCAAGACTTGGCGATGCATGAGCATCTCCTCTGAAGGCAGCATGGGGCACAACTCTGCATGCAACCTGTGCAAAGCTGAGCAGGCCTGAGCCAATTTGCCGACTTCCGTGCGAAGCAGTGACACCTGTCCAATGAGCTGTCTTGCTTTGACAGTGATGTCCCGTCTCGACGAACCTCGTCAGTCGGCACCTGCAGTCATCAAGATGCAGTTGGTGCGGAGCGGATCTCCATTACTACTTTGATGACTTGACTCTATGAGAAGCTGAGACAGATCACTGACCATCTACATGACAGGACCACCACACGGAAAGCAAGGATGCTTTGCCTCCGCCCCCTCTGTTTGGTCTTCGGAAGCCATGGCAGTTCAGCCAAGCAGTGATGAGATCATAAGTATGCCATGAAAGCGGCATTTGCCACAGGACATCTGTGCTGCTTGCTGCTGTTTGCTCGCTTAATTTGCTGTGATCAGGTGGGGTGTCTTGAGGGATCAACGGTCTCAGGTGTTGGGCTGAGCAAATGCTTGCGTAACTGCCTCACGTTAAGTGCTTGTTGGCTACCTCTGAAGCATGCAAGGCTGGTCACGAGGACAGCTTTCCTCTCCAAGTCTTCCAGTACCTCTTGTAGCAGAAGGCTGCCATGCTGAGGTGTGGTGATTGGTATCCTTTCTCCGCGAAACAACGCAGTGCCTGTATCAGTGCTGCTGCGAAGCGAGCCTGTAGCTGTTTAAGCTCTGATTGTTTTGAAGCCAGCTGAGCAGGCATTGAACTCTGCTTTACAAGGCTCCAGCAGAAAACCTGCAGCTCATCCAGCCTCATCCACCGTGTTATCACTGCAGCAAGCATAATCAAGTTGCAGCCTGGGGCTGGCGCATTTGCGCTGATAGGAAAACTAGGCTTTGCCTGCCAAGAATAAGAATTGGCATCTTGCGCATGAGCAGCAAACTAGCGCGAATCATGATCAACAACTTGGTTACCATGGCATAACACATGCTGCTGTTGCCGCGGACGTCTTTGGCACGTTCAGGACCTTGTTTCCAGGTTGCAACAGCATGGCATGTAGAGTTGACGTGCCATGAGCGTTCTGTTTGGCGTGATCGGCTCCGTTTTCGCAAGTTTCCCAGGAGGGTGGGCCTCGGGTCTGGGTCCGAAACGCAGAGTCGTCCTGGGCACAAACACTGTTGGGAGGGGCCGGGGGCCCGGGGGCCGGGGAGGCCCGGGGGGTCCAGGAGAGGGGCAGAGCACGATCACCAGCGCAGAGCTCGTGGCTTGGCGGTGATTCTGAGTGCTAATGTTCTTTAAAGCGGAGGAGAGCTCGTTTACCAAAACGAAGAGGCTTTTTTCGTTCTGCGAGGATCCAAAGCCACCGCTCTTCTGCGAAAGCGATGAAGCGGCACGTCGCCTTCCTGAGGAAGACGGGCGAGTCGGAGGCTGAGGCCGTGAAGCTTCACTGGCCCTCGCCTGCTCTCTAGCCTCAGCAGGTCAACCAGTCAACCACCGTCTGTACAACAGAGGCTGACTGATGTGTGACAGCCGATGCTCGCAGATTGTCAGGGATCATCTTCCCACGTCAAGCAGAACCCAAGCTGCAAAGCCCAGACGAGCCCCATGCCAAAGATACAAAGCTCTGTCGCACTTAGCCTGATTGTCCACTCGTTGTTGTCTAGAATCTCAATCGCTAAAAAGCACCCAACTCTAAATCAAACCCGATCCAAAATCCGTAAAGAACCCCAAACCAAACCCACACCCCAAAGAACCCAAAGCTCCAAACCCTAAAGCACCTTAGTTACTCCGCAAAGGACCCAAACCCCACAACCCTACGGAACCCCAAGCGACCCCAAGGACTAAACCCCGAAGGACCCCACATGCCTAAAGAACCCCAAGCAGCCCCCAAACCCGAAACCCTCAAGAACTAGAAAACGAGCCTGGAAAAATTAAACGACGAGCCGAGCGATCCCTCATTTGACCTGCTAAACCCCAAAGCAAAATAAATTTGTAAAGAGCCCCAGGCCCCAAGCCCTAAATCCTAAAGGACCCTGAACCCCGACAGCATGTGTTGTCGGGAACAAGTAGCGCAACCAGCATCTTACATCTTACAGCTGGTGCTTGCAAATATTTGGAGAACAAGCAGAAACCAACTTGCATGCTCTGGACAGCCTTCCTGGCCAAGACAGAGCACTGTAACACCCAACATCCAAACATGCTCTTCTCGGCGCCAGGCTGTCAGGCTCACCTGTTCCAGATTGCACTGGTCAAGACTGGTTTCTGCTTGCTCCCTCTGAAATCTAAGACGCCGTATTGTGAGGTGAAAGAGCGGCCTTCGGAAGAATCCGGATGTCCACCTCTTCCAAGAGCTCCGGCTTTTTCTGCATTTTTGAACAGGACAGGATCATTCCAACCTATTCCAACCAGCTGCTGTCACGGAACAGTTTGCTGATCACCAGCCTTTTGGTAGTAGCTGTAGAGCTGCCGAGGTGTTGGAGGATCCTGGCCCTGGCGGACGTAGCGTCTGCAACAGCACCGACACTCAGGCGCAGCCTCAACCCTGTGACTTTCGCGCCTCTGGCAGGCGCTCCCACCGGTTTCGCACCGGATCGTGAAAGGCACGGACCAGGGGCACCTGACAAACACCTTCCTTTGCCTGCACGGCTCAATCTTCGGCCGAATCTTCGGTTTGAGCCCCCGACGCTCTTGTCATCGTACATTGGGTCACAAAAGTGTGGCTGGCCCTCTTGCCACTCGGGCGCCTTTGAGGCTGCTCTGCGCGGCACCGCGAGGCAAAAGGGAGCATGACTACACCTTCCAGTAATGCAGCATCGGGGCTACTTAAAGGGGTGCCCTAGCATATCACACTTTCATGCAGTGTATAGCAGTTTCTAAGCCTTGCTGTTGGGTCCTTGTGTTTTTGCTTCGATGATGTCAGCAACAGTGCCTTCACGCACACGTAGAAGACGCCACCGACTACGAAGACCCTCCAGACCGCACATCTGCTCGGAGGTACATTAGCAAAGTTTGCATATGTTCATCCAGCTCAGGCCCATGCACAGTGGCTGGCCACCAGCTGGAATACATCTTGTCCTCCAGCACAAACAGTTGCCGTATTGGCGCTCACGACCCTCTCTGTGCTTCATGGGCATCTCGCGTAAAGAAGTTCTCTACAGAGCTGTGACCACTTAGGATGATTTGAGGCTTCTGGGATTGGACGAGGTGGGCTTGGGGCTCTAGCATGAGCACGTCGCCCTTCAGGAAATTGGAATTGGTGATCTAGGTATGTTGTTGAGGATCTCGATGTCATTTCCTCTTTGGATTCAGGTTGGGATTTGGGCCCAGCTTAGGGTCTCAGGGCTTTAGGAGCTTGGAGTGTCTGAGGGGTTGGGCTGTGGCCGCCTCAGGAGTATTGCCCAGATTGCGCAAGACTGTGCGCAACTATGAGGCGGTTGCTTGCTGGAAAGCTTGCATCTGCTGTATCCAGCACCTGGAGCTATAAATGCATCCATGCCGGCAATGTTTGTAACGTCCCGCTTTTGGCAGTTCCACAAACACCTCATGTTGTTCCCCAATGAGAGTTTTGTCTCCTTCAGACCTGTAGCTTAGCGAATCGAGCACTCTACAACGTTTGGGTAGCGAAGGTGAGGGTTGGGGTTGGGGGAATTTGAGAAGGGTCCCGAGGTTTAGAGTTTAGGGGTTTGCTTGCGGGTTGACAGATATGCGCCTCTAGGCAAGCTAGGTTTTACATCTGGCCCAAGTAAACACCCGGAAGCTAGACGTCTAAGGTGTAGTCTTCACGCGCAGTGCCGAGCTCTTTGCAACCCTGGAATACCCTGCTACTTCCCCATGTCCGGAGGCAGATCGTTGCGCTCACCAGCTGCGTAGCGTTTGTAGCGCTCCTTCACAGACTGTCAGACTCAACATTTCTGTTTCCGATCATAGGCGCGGTCCTTTCGTGCTTCTCTTTCCTCCGGTGTTTCCTGGCGCGTTGTGCTTTAGCAAAGGCTACTTTGTAGCATCTTTCCGATGCGAAGGTGTCCTTCTCCCAGTGCTCAGTCCATCTTTCTCTCTCGACCTGCATGTATGCTCTGACTGAGTTCACTTTGCCGAAAACACCTGTGCCAGTGGGATGCGCCCTGTTGAGATTGCCCGGTGTGCCTCTTGTGTAACACCAGTCCCGAACTTGCTGAACTGTAGGTCCTCCGCGAGATAGAGGACTGCGCAAGTGACTATGCAACTTTGCTTCACTTTCCTGATCGTAAAGTGCCTTCTTCCAGGAGTCGCTCAGCCTGAGCTATGTTGTCGGCAGCTTGAGGAAATCAAGTGTCCGCTTTACTCGCTTGGTTTGCGGCTTGCACTGCAGCTTGTCGCTGTGTCTGCAACAGACCTCAGCCCCTCGCGTGGCGTGGGCCTCCTGAATCTCCTTGAAGCGCGTTTCTGCCTGCGGCATAGGCAGATCGGTGCGCATGTGCAGTCGACATCGGGCAGGATCTCATAGCCAGGGCCATGGAATGCCATGAAGATACAGAACGAAAGTGAAACGAATTTGCTAGCGCAAGCTCTTGCAAAGCGTTCGATCGTTGGCCTCCGGATCATCAACGTTTCGATCTGGATGGTAACGTTTCGCAAGGCGCCGATACCTATGCCCGAGTGCGCTTAGACAGGGGCAATGTCGAAAGCAGGGCGAAGCGCACGCTTCCTTGATCTCCTCTTTCTTTGCTTTCCGCGGCACCTCCAGAATGTCGTAGTACCTCGTGGCAATTCGTGTCATCATGACCTGCTTGCGACACGACAACCAAGCGACTCAAGAGCTGCTGACGTTCTGGTCTTGCCAGATGAAGAGGAGGAGCGCTCACTTTCGGCCTCATCTTGACATCATGCTGTTCCGAAAAATGCAGCTGCAACTTTTAAGGGATTAGGCTGAACGAGCAAAATAAGCTGGTGGTCTTTAGGCCGACCGGAAGCAGTCAGCGCATGCCGCAGCAAGTCTCTGCGCGCGAGGTGCATGCCACACGCGTATGATTGATTTTGTCACCAGATGAACTCAAGATCAGATCCTGAGAGCCAAGCAGAGAACCAACGCAGCTGATCTTCAGCCTTGAAGCTCTCTGATGCCATTTGATTCTCAGCAACCAGTTCTTGTCTTCATACCCTAAAGGTCAGAACGCGGATGGTTGGCCAGCGCGAGCGCCTTCAAGCTTCGGAGCAAGCGTTGCGCAGCTCACACGTCAGTTTAACAGCACCATCCGCTCTTACCTGGGGAGCAGCGGCCGAAGCAAGGCGTGCTTGAAGAAAGTGGCACGTAGCATGGTCGACTCACGGTCTTGCTGAGGCTTTGAGGTATGTTGCTCGCAGCGAAGGATTAGCTTGGGCAGGAGATGCTGGCTGGAGTGGCTGACAAAAGCTTTTTTCAAAAACATGCTTTCTTAACATATCCTCACGTAATGCCTTTGGCTGAAGGGCGGTGAAGCAGCTGCACACAGCAAGGGCATACTCAACTTCCGGCTTCGCAGAATCGTGTGCTCCTACAGCCTGCGACGTCGCGTTTTGCAGCCATCTGAGCAAGCACCCCAGGGTGAGCATGGGTCTCAGGCTTTCACTTACCCCAATACCCCAAGATTGGCACACTAGGCTTCGTGAGTCCGTGCAAAGTTTAGCTTGTTGAGCTCAGCAAGGCCAAGTGCCAATCCTGAAGGGAAAGCCTTTGCTTGACAGTTATCCCCATACTCGAATCGGCCTAGGGCTGTCAATGCCCCTGCGGCTTGTTTCTTTGAAGCAGTGAGGCATTGCCAGCTTGTGGGCACAATGTGACAAGGTGTGAAACGCCTCCTTTGATCATCTCAGCGAGGATGATGCCACTCAAACACCTGATGCGGTGATTCCTCACCATCATATATGTATACACGTGTATGTATATGTATATGTATAGGCTTATATATTAAACATCTATCTATACAGAATATGTACATGACAGAGCCCAGCAGAGGACCTCGAGTAGCGCGCCCCGCGAGCTTTGTGCTGCGACGCAGCTTACCTGGACCAAGTCGATCAAACTCTGAAAGGGAATGCCATATCGTTAAGCATGAGCTCTGCAACATGCACATTAGCTGTGCACAATCCTTTGAGCCTCAGCCCACGCCCACGCTTTGTGGCGGGAGCCTGCGCTTGTACTTCGACTGTTCAAAAAAAACATCATGGGGAGAGACCTTGGCTGCAGGACGTGCCATCACTTCCGGTGCCGAGACCTGCCACACCGAACAGATGCTGAACACAAGCGAGTGAAAGAGAGAGGCTTCAGTGACTTTGCTTGAACTGCTTTCGTGTCTCGCGCCTTGCTCTGGCAAGATGCTCGGCCTAGAAGAAGTTACAAACTCTTAGAAAGAGATGCGGTCCAAGTGAAACGACCTCGGCCGCGTGGTCGACCGCGCCCTTGCCCTTGACCTGCACAGCCAGACAATCTCAAGATGTGACAAAGTGTCCGGCCTTCTGGGGCCTGGCCTCTGCCTACAGTTACAGGCTCCTTTTGCTCCTTTGTAGCAGCCGCTGGCCCTGAGCTCTTGCGCGATGATTCCGCTGCAGCTGCACAGGAAGCTCAGGCAACGGCTTTTCATGGACTTCCTGGACAACAGAGCTTGGGCAAGCATGCTCTAGGGATAAACGCTGAAAACAAAGCATGAAGCAAATGTCATTCAAGCCTGCTTGTGCTAACAGCCGTTGACGCCTTTCCCGCTGCCTGTACATGGAAGAGTAAGTTAACGCACCCCCTACCCTCCCAGTGCGCACGATTTCGGGTGGGGGGTGTTTTTTCGGGTTTCTAGGGGGGTAAGGGGGGCTCCGGGCGGTTGTCTGGGTTCAGCACAGGATGGCAGGGGGCCGAAATGGAGGTTCTCAGCTCCAGGCCAAAAACGCGGATTTCGGGTGAAAGGTGGTTTGGTCGGGGTGATGGGGGGCTGGGGCTCGGGGGCACAGCGAGAACTGCCTGCTCTGTGCTCTCACCCCTCGACAGCCTTTGCCGAGGCGGTCTTGCGTTAGCGGTTAAATTAAGCTTCACTTCAAGTCGGCATTGACTGGTCTGCTTGCAGCTGACTTTACCGCAGAGCCTGACACTCCCTGACGTTAACCCGTTGCTTCGCACAGCCAGAACAGGTAAGCTGAAGGGTCTTGCATGAACCCAGAGGCAGTTCACATGATATACGATGGCCTTCGACTGTGAGCTTGCATTCTCGAGGGATTGGGCATCACCATCTAGCCTGAACAAACCAGGAGGTCACTGCACGAGCAACATCTGGTCTGGCCATGTGGTGGCCTTAGCTGTGATGGAGGAGAATGAGGAGAACCTGGAATCCAACTGCAGGAGTACAACGCCAGGAACATGCAGGCTCAGAGCGGCAAGTGAGCAGCAAGCACAAAGAAAGTTGCCAAAGCCGAGGCATGAGCTGCTAGCTGCGGCGCGCTTTGCACCGGAATCTGGCAGACAGTACAAGCAACGCATGCGGCATCTGAAGCTGAGCTGTTGAACGCCTGCGCCTACCGACCGCTCTGGCGCAGCGACCTGATGCAACTGCCAGCACTCCCACAACCTCAAGCAGTTGCTGTAAGGTTTCATCGCAGCCAGGGTGCAGATTCGGTGTGGCCAGTCAAGCAGAGTCCTTGGCAATAATCCGCGGTGGAACCGTTTGGTACGGCACGAACCAAAAACAATCCGATACCAGGCTTACCAAGAAACGACAAAAGTCTTCTGGGATTGCCAAAATCTGAATCTGAAAATCTGCCTTTGGGCTTCCGTTCCTCAATGCAAGGCTCACAGAGATGTTGGAGTCGGTTGATGGGGGTGCAGCTCTGCGAAGCCATTAACCCAAGACTTCACAAAAGTAAATGCTCCATGTGAGCCCAATGCCTGATAGCCTGAGGGTTGCACAAGCTGGAAGTATTGTATTTGAGACATGCAGGGGCACATACCACTGGATGCAAACACACGACCACATGCTATTGTCCTACAATCTCTAGTGACCACTAAAACACATCGCTCATGAATCGCCACATGTCTTGGAAGCGTGAAGACCAGCTATCTGATAGCATGACAGCTGGGAGCCCAACCGTCGTCCTTCTGCTTTGTTAATGGGGAATCACCTGGCAAATGGTCACCGAGCCTTTAAGCCCGATTTGATGCGATCAGGCAAGTTTCGGCCGGGCCCGCAGTCTGCAACAGCCTGACGAAAGTGGAGGAGGGAACGTCTTTAGCGGCCAGAATGCAACATCGGTCATCAACTCACAGTTCAAAGGCCCAACTGGCCGCAGACAGGGCTTTTTCATGCCTCGAAGCGTGGCGTGAGGTCCGTCGGCTCCAAGTGCCAGGTCCTGAGCTCTGCTCGAAGGCCTGGTCCTGCCTTCTCCTGGCCATTTGTCCCCATGAGGCCACGGCTCCATCCAACGCCTTAAAGGTTTTTTGGGCAAGCCACTACGAAGGGGAAGAATCACACTTTTCTGCAGGGGTATGCCTTTCATATCCATTTATGCCATCAGCTGAGGGCTGGGCCGCTCAAAGCCCTTCGGCGCTGCTGCAGCACGGAGAGGTCTATGAGCACATCTCTAGAAAGTCTCAACAATATGGATGTCGCTTTGCTGCAAAGAGCTTCCGGTGGACCAACTACTAATCATCTTCACTGAAGCTGCGGTTGCTTAGAAATAGTGAAATGGTAGTTATGGAGTCAATAGCTTTCAGTAGTTGTTTTGTCCGTCCAATTGTGAGCACATACAAAGATGCGTGCTGGACAAGAGCTACACACGTCTGCCGCAAACCACTGGCGGCGGCTTGCCACATGGCTCTAACAGTGCTGCACGCTTGCTTGCCGGGCAGGCCCTTTTACGCCACTGTACACTGTACATGCACATGGGTCTAGAGACCGTTTTGACTTCCTACTGCCATGCCATGCGCTCAGCATTGGAGAAGGAGTCCACATGCCTGTACCTGAAAAGCTCAGAGACTTCTTGTGTCCTTTGAGGCTCAAGCTGCAATGCAACTAACAATGACACCTATGCACAAATGGCAGTGCTACCATCTCTCCAGCGATGGCGTTGAAGGGCATCCTGTTGAAGCTCTCTGACGTGCTCTGACCAGCGGGGCTCGGAAAGGTGCTGAAGCCCACGTTGCGCCTGCATCCTTTCGCATCTTCTCGTACAGATCCCGATCCAGTCTGCTCGGCCTGCTTGAGAGCGCCGGCCAGCACAACGAAAACAACGAAAAGTCTCGAAGTCGAATCTTAAGCCTGCCTGAAGCCGGCAACGTAGGGCTGCTCAGCGAGAACTGCCTCAAGATTCGCGCCGTCAAGGGCACACTCAAAACGAAGCTGCTAATTTTGACTCCAGAAAAGTGCTTATACGACCGAGGTGGCAAGAGAGCTTTGACGTCCAACGCTTCTTTATGGCTGAATGAGCCTTTGAAATTCTCATACTGAAGTTTTGGGGAAGCTGGCCGAGCCATCGGAGACAGAAGGACGTGTGCAGGGAAGACAGACGAAGGATGAAAGGCTTGATGTGAGCTTCAATTGGCGAAGCTCTTCGCGAAGCTCTTCATATACCTCAGCCATGAACGAATGCACCATAGTGCATGCCCCCTTCTTCTCACTAGGTGGCGCTGTTGCAGCTGCGGATTGTCAACTTCCAGCCGCTGTGGTTCATGGGCTTCAGCAGAACAGTCACAAGCTTTCATTCCTGATTCCGAATCCTTCATTCATTCTTACACGCCCCCCAGATGTCAAATCAAGCTTGGCATTGCAACTACCCAACCATTACACGCAACCTGGGTAGGTTGACCATTAGGGTTTCAAGAGTTGAGCCGCAGGATTTGACGCGTTTGAGTTAGTAACTCTTGGGCAGTAGCACTTACAGTTTGAGGTTTCGATGGGTTTCAGGCGTTTTCAGGGTTTGCGGGTTTTAGCTTTTCGTTTTTGCAATGTTGGGGGGGTAGAGGTTTAGGCCTTCAAAGTTAAGAGTTTTGAGTGCTTGTAGGGATTGAGGGTCCAAGGGATCGGGACTTTTAGGATTTTGCCACCTTCGAACTTAGATAGCGCATCTACAGTACCAGAACATCTGACTTCGCGGAATCAAACCAACTCTCAATCCAAGACATCTTGAATCCCTATAGGGGTTTCCCAACATGAGGGGTATAATAAGGACTGTAGTATTTTTGGGGTCTATATTGGCGTCCCCTATTTTGCAAAGCCACCGTATTCTAAGACCTCAAGCTCTGAAACCCTCGTCCTCTCCACACCTGAAACCGCAAATATTGATTCGGCTAATAGGGAAGTGAAATTGGTTTGCACACAGGCCAAAGTTATAGACGCAGCACATCCTTTTTAGGGGCGATTGCTGGATTCTTCGTCCGCTGCAATTGTCTGTTCAGAGATTGGGACTTCGGGGTTGTTGGTTTCGGGCTCGAGGGCATGAAGGTCTTGAAGTTCTTGTATTCCAGGGCTTGAGGCTAGGACTCTGTGGTTACAGGGTTCTGGAAGTCTTGCTAGGTTGCTGCTTTGCTAGCTGCATGTCTCCACCAAGCCTGTGTCCCCAAGACCTAAGAATTTAAGTAAACGCACCGGTACACGACAAAGAAGACGGGGAACAAAGCTGAGCTGAAGCAAAAGAGATCTCAGAAACTTATCCTATACTTATCCTATACACAGAGCAGGCTTGAAGAAGGCAATACGCAAAGCTTGAAGTTGAGGGGCCTCGGACCGGCCCCCGTGATCATTCATAATCCCCGCTGCGCAATGGAAGGTCTGCAAGCCCACATGCCGGCACCGTTAAAGTGTGCCGTAGAAAGCTTTTCAGCCAGGTATGACCCAAGAAGGCAAGCAGGTCAAGGTTGATGACTCAGAGTTAGACCAACTTCGGTTTCTAGTGTAAAGACCGAGTCTTGAGTTTTGGGCCTCCAGAGTGCATTTGTTTTCGCAAGATGAAGCCTCCCCAAACCCCGTCAGCACACTGCTATCCATGAAAGCTTTGCAGAACCTTTGCACGTCACTTTCGCAATGCAGTTACTGTAGCAGTTCTCAGCCTGCCTCCAGCTGAGACGCGTCCGCTGCAGAGCCTGGGTCAAAGCGATTTTCAACCACAGCTGAAACAGTGCCGGCCATGAGTAGGAACAGGGCCGTTCTGTGGTGCTGCCGGTGACCTTGAAGCTGACGCTGCAGCTGCTTTCGCCTCAGCTTCATGTTCAGAGCAAGGGCTTGTACCAGGACGAAAATGTGGATTTCGTGGTACCCCCGTTACTTCACGAACCTTCCGTCAGGCGGCAGGCTGCCAGCTGAGCTGTCATCCAAAAGCTACGTCACAGAAGCAGCCAGTGCAGTCTGATGCCATGCTCAAATCTGGGCCCAATTTCTGACTGGTGGACGTGCATCTTCGTCTGCATCTATGCGCGCACAAGCGCTGCTTCGCTATAGCGTCTCCAAGTTCTTGTAACTGCTCCGAGTGCTTTCGAAGGCAACCCTGCGCTGAAACATTGAGGAACTGGCAGGGGGCTCCAGTCCAAAGTATGCATCCACCTGGCCCAAGTCCTAAGTCTGAGCCAAACCGGACCTCTCGGCTCTACATCGACCTCTGCTGCAATTTTCTGACCTTCTGCCCCAATGCTGAGATCCGCACATCTATCGGTATGTCCTTCTGCTTGAGCTCATCCGGGTCTGTTGGCTTGAAATTGCGGAGGTCCTGGAGTCGGCGGCCAAAGCAGAAGTGCATTGGCATTGAGCGTTACTTCCGTATGATAAATGGCTGGATGTTGTGGCTTCAGGTCCTTGATCCGAACCAAGCCCTTGGACCACTCATCGGGAGCCACAAAAGCTATTCGCTCTGCTCCCGCACGGTCTGCATAGTTGAACGCCTTGTTAGGTGCAACTATGCAGTCTGGAGCCCATCTCTAGCACATGCACTGAAGAGCGGTTTTCTTGATGCCTTAATCCTTGTTTCGGGGACAACTGCCCGGCCCAGTGTGAGCACTTGAGGTCTTGGGCATGTGTGCTGGAACTTTGCCTTGGCCACCTTCTTCGATGCTTCTGCGTAGACCTTCACAACAGAGTATGACTGCGACATCAGAGCTCTTCTTTGGGACTTTGGGACATTAGCATGCTGATTCTGAACAGCATCTGAGGGAGGGGCATCAACAGACTTGCCCGCACTGCGCAGTAAGCGCGCAACTTTCAGGGCCTGCACGGTCTTGCAAGACTATGCCTAAGGCATGATTTGCCATCTTGCTGTCACCGCCTACATGCCGTGGCAAGGCACCGCTGCGCATCTCATTTCTCCGTGAGCGCTCTCATCTCAAAGCTCGGTTGCACTCAGCTACAGTACGAGAGACGCAGCTTATGCCCGTGGCCGTGGAAGCCTGGAAGAAACTACAACATGTCGCGATGTCCTTGTCCACAAAGCTTTGTGAAACCCAGTTTGAGATAGTGTCCTTGAAAGCAGTGGACGGAGGCTCTCCAGGGCCCAGCTGGACGCCCACAGACCAGCACATCCACAGTATTCCATCGTGCACCAGCGCACAGCAGCTATGTAGACGCCCTTGCAGCACTCCTTGGGATGCTCATCTTGTTCATGCCTTGCAATCTGGTCCGTGTGATGTGCCGGGTGGTGTGAATCACCTCGCAGGGTCCACAGCAGTGCATACATGAAGGACCAAAAGCCCCAAGGATCTGGTCTAGTTCAGAACCAGCTCACGGTTCAAGCCAGACCAGACCTGCTAAGGCAAGAACATAATTAGCTTTTGATATTGTCTTCAAGAGCCCAGGACTGCTATGGAAGGAGGCCTTAGCTCTCCAACGCGTGCTGCCCGAAACTCTTCGGCTGACACAACTCCGTCGTTGTCCGCGTCCTTGTGCACAACCATTTATGCAACATCACGGCACAAGCATTGCGGAAGCGAACGCCGAACGGCAACAAACTGTGCACACTGCACGGATCAGCTTGCAACATTTGGTCGGGGCACCAAGAGGGCGAAGTCTCGAGCAGCCTGGTTTTCGGCACGCTCCCTTGCGGCACCGAAGGCAAGGACAGTTGTGCGTGGCCGCCTGTGCCCAATCCAACGCTTGCCGCTCACACTCTTGGACGTGTTCTCAGAGGCTGCAAAAAAGGGTTGGTCCATTTCTTTATTTAGGTTCTCCCGGCTATGGCTCTAAAGCAATTGCATGTTGAAGCAGTTCTGGCTTTTTCAAGTTCCAAACATGGTAAGAAGCACAACACATTTCCAGCCCCATGGTACCGCCAAGTCATGTGCATCATGTCATTACAGCGTTGCCGGCATACTTAGCCTTCAAATTGTAATCACCCTGCACCCTCACAATATTCTAGGACACGTGGAAGATGCACAAATTCTGAATTTATCTGTTTGCAAATACCATGAATGGCAGCATGTGGAGCATGCTCCAGGACTGAAAAATTGTGAGTTGCTGTTGACATCCAGAGTACCAAGTACGTGGATCAAAGCAGGTAGCAGAAGTTGCAGACTCCAACAACGTCGACTTGCGGGATATGAACTGCTCAGATTGCCAACAAGGCGTGACAGCATTACGTACTGGTATATGCGCTTAATGCATAGCTTACCAAAAGAGGTGAAAAGACTCATCAATAATAATCCAGTATTTTCCAAAACTATTCTTGAACAAGCTTCCATCCGATAGTGCATGTGCTTCATGCAGCCATATACAGCACTTGAAGATGATGGAGTCCCCCATCTGTACGTGTACAAAGACACATGCATATATCGTAGAGAGGTGCCATGCAATCAAACAAAAAAGATGCCGGAAGTGAGCACGCACCACAAAGCCCAGAAGCAAACAAGCCGAGAGAGGAAGGGAAGGATAGGCAAAAAGGCATAAGACTAGAAACATGTCCTCAACAATTACACCTCCGCTGTGTCAAGACAATGAACCTGCCATCCATCTGCTCGGCAATTCGTGCTGCACGGTCTTCTTTGCCACTTCCGCCCTCACGGCGCTCCTCCCACACATCAACAGGTCAGCTCCCTATCTAAGTTTCTTCGATCATTTGCTTCATCAGGTCACCCAGTCCTTCAAGTGCGTTCGTAGAGTCATCACGCGCTGCGCCTGGCATCCAATCATCTAGGTGAAGCAGCACAGTTTCAGTCACCTGGCCACTTGAGAACGACAGCACCTCATCTGGGAGCTGCCAATCGGGATGCCCGGCAAGTATGCCCAGGATGGATCGGCTCATGCTTTGGCCTGTGCTTTGAAGCTGCTCCAGTGCAGATGGATGAAGATTGGCGCCGTGCGCCCCACGCATCAGGTTGCTACGTGGTGGGGCTTGTTGACGAAATCTTTGCTGCCTGGTGGCCACGTTCTTTGAAGTCTCCAAAATCTCCAGCTTCCGCCCTTTCCCCGCCTTGAGGCGCTCAGAGCCTCATCCTTCGATTGGTCTATGTCCGCATGCAGAAGGTGGCTGGCCTCCGGACGCATCCTCCAGTGCTTTCAGTAAACTATGGGCAAGTGCGCCTTCTCCGTGAGCTCCTCTGCTGCCTACGTACAAAGCCAACGTGATGCACATGACAGCACTAAGTCACTAGCTGACAGCATTCGGTACATTGAAGGCCTAGCTGACAGCATTTGGTACATTCCGGGCCTGTTGTAGACCTTCTGCCGCGGCTCCAAGTCGCGCAGAGACGGGTCTCACAGGGTCCATGCTTGCCAAAGCTCCTGCCATGTAATGCGAAGCAAAAGCTCGAGGGATCAATGTTCCCCGTTCTCTGTGCACATTGAAATTGCTTTTACATAGATAAAGCTGATATCTCAAGCTGTGGCAGCTGATCTTGCATTCTGCGATAGGCTTCAAAAAATGATTTATCAGCTCAAGAGAGGATTTCAAGCCCGGCTGAGGGCACGTGCAGCCCCGCTGTCCTTGCATATAGCCTGTCAAGCGGCGCATACAGGAACTTTCAACAATTCTCCAAGTTTCCTGCCGCTTAACACAGAGCGCAGTCATCAGCCAAAAATGCACCAACATTCCTTGTTTGTCTTGGCTGCTTCTTCAGTTGCCAAAGGAGCCTGACATCCGGCTCACAAGCCGCGCAATGCTGCGAAGCGATGCCCCATGCTCCTTAGATTCAAGCGCTCGTCAAAATCCTGTCAGCTTCATCCTTGATCGCTCCTCCAGCGCTGAAGTGGATGGTGTAGCATCGAGCAGCTCTGCGCATGTCCTGCACGCAGCATGCAGGGAGTAGTCTAATACAGACAGGAACCCTCTCTGCATGTGCAAGTACGCTCAATCACTTCCAGAGCGTCCTGGAGACTATGCCTGTCAACCAGCGTAGGAATGCTGCAAGCCTGTTACCAGTACTTGTGTAACTCCGATCGAAGAGAGCGCAGACGTAAGACATGAGATGCTGTGCCGGTGTGCCTCTCCAAGCTGCTGCTGACAGCCCATTCTCCGTGCTGCCTCAATGAGCCAGGCATAGCCAGGCTTTTCATGAGCTGAAAGAGGTGGCACTGTTTTGAAGGTGCTTGAATGGTTGTCCATGCCGCACCTCACCGTCCATTCCGGAGCAGACTGTAGAAGCTCTGCCAACTCTGTTGCCCAAGCCTCCAAAGTTGAATTATCAACGTTGCGAATTACCGCTGGAATGGATTCTTGATACCCAAGTGAGACAACAAAAGGACAAGCTGAACAGAACTGCCAGGGAGGCTGTTGATTTTTCCAAAAATGATTCAACATCATTCCACATTACTGCTACTGCACTCCTCAGTTCCTACTCCACAACCTCCGTGGATGCTTTTTCGAGTTCATTTACTCGAAACTCCGGGGCAATCCTGGCTGATGGCTACGGCGGCTTGCTACAGAAGCAAAATGCCTGCTGTTAGAGGTTGCCACCACGCCATGGGGTGACCAGCAGCTTCAACTTTTCTGAGACTCATATTTGATGGGGACAAGGGCGTTTGGGGCTTTTCCGTGTGGTATGCGTAATGCCTACTTGTGAACCATGTGACACAAGTCACGCTATACTTCTGAGCAAGGCGACAAAATACGCAGGACGTAGGTTTGAACATGTTTGAGCAGTGGGCCGCCGTTGCAAAAGTGGCAGGGCTTGGTCAAGCATGCATCGGGTATGAGGAGAACCAGTTGACCCGCAGCATGATGCGGAAACAGCTTGCCAAAACCCCTTTGCCATTCTGCTCGAATCATTTTGTCGAATGCAGCTTGTGCTGGAACATGTTGGAACCCGATGCCAACAGATAATTGGTTGCCAAGTGCACCACAAGAACAACTCCAGGCATGATTGCTCTCATAGAGGGCAACATGGAATCGTGCACCCACAACTTTCCAATTCGCTTGGAAAGACTTCACAAGAGTCTGGTGGGGTTGCATCAGGTCATCACGATTCCAACTTGAAGTTTGCACTTCAGGCCTTTGCCTTTAAGAACAAGCGGCTTTGCGAAATGAAATGAAGACACGCCATTTAGCCTAAGCCAAAATTTCAAAAAGCATTCTAGGCTGATTCAGAAGTCTTCAAAGGTCAAGTTCAAAAACGTACGGGCTTTTCAACAAGATTCGACTGCCAAGGCGACAATAAGCAACACACTTTCAGGCCTTGATATGACATAGTGACATAACGCCCGAGGGCCAGAGGTCAAGAAGGCAGGAGTTCGAGGAGCCAGACATAACATGAGGATCTTCTCCATCACTCTTACAGGGTCCTCACTGTGGGAGTTGGGGTTACCAGCTCCTCCCTCGTCTTAAGAGAATCAAGAAGTCAGGAGATCTGAGGGGGTTCTGCGATTGAGAGGACAATCTGCTCCTGTTGAGCATAGCCGGCTACATGTTTCACGGGATGGATCATGCACTATGAAACATTGGAAGTCCCTTGTCTTGCGCAAACCGCCGCTGAACTACAGCATTTCGTTTTGCTCACAGAAGCCCACACTTTGTTGTCGTCCGTACAAACCTCTTGTTTCATTCGCACGCGGGCTGCCATACTACCACACGTTAGCCTTAGCCGGAACCCGAAGCCCCCGGCAGCTGATGTTGTCGTGCACCAAGTTCCCATGCAGTTGTGATTCAGAAGTTTTTATGCTGATAGCGGATGCGCCAACCAACATTGACCTTGTGTTGTGAAGGGTCTGCGGCTGGGTGAATGGTTGCTACCATGCCTACCCCTGCAAGGGGTAGGCATCATAACAGGTGTAAATTTGGCATGCCTCCGCCAACTAACGCGGCATGAGCACCGAAGATATGGACGTGATCGTCCAGGTACTGTCGGCATCGGAACACCCATATGCTTCAGGTACTTGAAGCAAGGAGCCACGAGAACATGCAATTGCACACAACAGGATGGTGGGTGCACAGCGAGCATCACGGGCCTCAGCAGCAACGAGCACTGCACCCCGTTGTGCAGAGGCTGCCAAAGGCTCCGGGGCAAGATGTGCCTGAGGAAGTCAAAGGACTTCATGAGGGAGATATGTCCAGGCCACGACGCTATCCTGGTCTCGCAATGCATGGGGACTGCCTCGCATCGCCAGGCTGGCTCAAGGCCTTTCAGCAAGGATCGGACCTGAGCTGCCCGCGCTTGTGGCTTGTAGCAAACCTGCTTGAGGCCATTGTGCGCAACTGCACGCGCAATAAACCCCAACGTTTTGCATCCACAGCATGAGCTGCAACTCCGTGCCAACAGTTATCATAAACTGATGCAAGGTGCACCAAGTCAGTGCGACGTGAGGACTGAAAGAAATCTGAACCCGCTTCACTTTAACAATGCAAATCCGCACCCTGACTCCAGCGGAAGCATAGCCGCTGTAGGCCGCGCACCATCGCAGGAGCAGTTTTCGGCAGAGCATCCGGCAGGTCCTGCGTGTGGCAAAGGTGTAAAAGCGCAAAGACATGCAGCGCATGGCGTGGCAGATGATGCATAGCCTTCGGACGGAGGTTGTGGTGTACCGTCATATCTTTGAAGAGTATACAATATTCATCAGTTTCCTGCGTCGGCGCATGAACGCCCCGCTGTTTGTTTTCAGCGTGCTGAAATCTAAGAGTTGCAACGCTGCCACAGGGTGCGTTCCAGGAATCCTTTGTGGCTGGTTTTGCCGCCCCGCTCTCGGCTGCATCTCCAGGCAGAAGCCTCATATCTTGCACTCAGGACCCTACTGCGCAAATCTGAGCGCAATTCGCAAAGTGCTGCCTGGAGGGCGCGTTGTGCGGCAGTCTGGCAGGAGCGCATGGCAGAAGCTCAAAGTTCAGGTCACTTCCTTTCCGAACCTCTGTGCTGCTTGGGCAAGGCGTGGAGCATGCACAAAGCACACCTTTGCAGACCAACGGTCCAAGACTGAATTGTTCGATACTCTTTCTGTAGCATTCTCAATACAGGAGAGCTGGGCGCAGCCTGTTCACAGTCTGTGAACGTTGTAGACTTCATAGCCTTTACAAGCTTGCTCAGGTTGCTTACATTGCTCGTGCAAAGCTTTCGTGTGCTGGCTCCAGGACCAATAAGCATCCCGCAGCGCCTGGGAGTACGCCTCGAGCACTTGCAATGCTGCATTCCATGGCTCCGCAGGAGGCCAAGGTGTCTGCACTGTGGTAGCCATTACCCATAGGCCCTTCCAACAAAAGCTGCGGAGACAAGAGCAACTGTTGCGATTGGGATTTGGGGGTTCTGCAAAACGGGGGCTGCTGAGGGGTTGCCCATGTTGCAGCGCCTTGCCCATCATGTCTTGATTGAAGGCTGCTACCACAAAGTCCACTTTGTGGGGCAACTCGGGAAGCACCTGCAGTGCATGACCATGATGTTTGAACCTACTGGAACTCTGAAGGCTTCAGATGCTGGGCCTTCTTCTCCTTTAGCAGCTCGTAGATGACACAGTCGCCAAACCCGAAGCCAACGCATGGAACCTGCAACAGTATGCATGCCACTTCACGAAGCCATCCTCAATTGAAATCAACCCCTCCCTGCATGCTCTACAGCCAAGATCAAGCACGCTTCATAAACCCGATGTGCCTGAGGCATCATCTTCGTAAAGAGCTAGGCCAGAGGAAGATAAAGAGTGCTGGGTTAGCTCAAGACTCAGGACAACAATGGGCGAGCGCAGGGAAGGAAGTAGTTCATCCCAAAGACTAATCCACATTAATCATGAGCGGAAATACAAAATTTCATCAAAGAGAAATCAGTTCCAGAGGCCCGGGAGGGCAGTACTTGACATCAGGGAAAGCTTCTATTGAGTGGAGTCAACCAAAAGAATTTCTGGCCTCCTTGGGAGATCCGTAGAGTGTCAACAGTCTGTCGTACCTCGCTGTCCGAATTTTGTGCAGGGTGCACCTAACCGAAGATGGTCTCCAAATAGCATTTGCGCAGTGTCCTGAGCTTCTGGCCGACCACCACCGCATATCGCGCGCAACACGCCAGCCCGGTCAAAGCCTTGACACTTCTGTTTGGACATGCTAGCGCTCAAGCCAAGCACTTGAAGCGACATGCCTGCCTTCGAAGACCACACCGGTGTAGTAGGCGAGACCTGCTGAGGAGATGGTGAGACCCTTGCCGCAGTCTGACTTTGCGTCATGTCCCACTCTGTCCGAGCCACAAACATTGGGTGTTCATACTCTTTACACGCCTACACCCACCAGTAGTGCTGATAGTGGAATGCCGGATCTCGTTTGCTATCCCACTGCTGTCCTCGAACTACAGAGGCGTCAAAAATCAGCCAATCACCATAGCCTGCAAAGCCAAAGTTCCACTTTGTCATCGTCATAGCAGAGTGATTGATGCAGTCTTGTGGCAATGTGCCTTCCTCCTCCGCCAGCGTGAACAGCTGTCGCAGCTCTGTCACCTCCATGCCGAAAGTGAATCAGCGCCCACACGAACGCACATACATATCTGTGGAAGATGGTGGCCAACGCGGAAATGTGGCAATATGCAAAAAGGTGGAGCAGTGAAAATCCGCCGCCTCTGGACTCTCGCCAACCTTGCAAGCAAAGGCTGGGAAGACTGTGTGGTCCACCAGAAGTATGGCTCGCCAGCTCCAGGGGCTCTCTTTGCAGGGTGAATGGCGACTCTTACTAAGCGCCGCGGCACCAGCCATGGCTGCAAACTCGTCCAGCGTTTTGGCCTGTGCATTTTGGCAAGCGCATGCGGAATGGGAAGTGAGAAAGATCGCAAGCCTGGGCATGTTGCTAGTCCCAGTACAACTGAACCTGCTAAGTCTGACACAGCGGTAGCAGAGACGATCCGCTGCGCAACGTCCTTGAAGCGTGAGCGAAGCTCTCAAAAACAAGAACAATTACAGACACTGCAGCGCTACCAACATGTAGGTTGTAGCAGACTGTGTGTGACATGAGCCACTGTTTGCACAGCTGTACACTGCTTACGTTATACTGGGAGTATCACAACCACAAGCTGTGCATTCCTGTGTTAAATGCACGTAGCTTGAACAAGCTCGTCTAGCACCCATGTGGCAGCTCGTGAAACTTTTCGACAGCTCAGGCAATGGCCTGTCCCAAGCCAATCTTCCTTGGATTGTGTGCTGCAATGTGTAGAGTCGGGGAACACTGCAAGACAAGAATTGAAGCAGAAAGCAATTTTTTTCCAATGGCCTGGATTCAAGCGGCCCAGGCTGAACAAATTACAATAGATTACCAGGACCATGAAACACAATCAAATTGTTCGAGCCCTGCGAGAGCGCGGAAGCCCTGCCCTTGACATGCAACAAGCAAGTGGCTCGGTCAGTTCCTTCACGACCGCTTCAGCACCAATCTTGTCCTGGCGTGCATAACCCAGACCCAGCTCCCCAGAAACTGGACCCAATGTGGATCTAAGATCTCCTGCTTGTCGATCACAACACAGGTCTCGGTGAACCGCTCATCCTGCAGCGCAATGCTAACAGGTGCAGGGATAAAAGATCCCCAAACTCCCCCCTCCTGTTCAGTCCCTAAACCTTACACCTCAGGACAGACTGCCCCTCCTTTGGAATATCTCAAGCTGGGCTCCAGGCTGGCACGCCAGCATTCCTAAGCACAGCTCCGAGCACTTTTCGCGAGTTCACCTTGATTCCCACCTCCTGCAGGCGATCTACCAAACAGCTGTCTTCTGTCAGGCACTGCAAACAGATATGACTGCACCAGCGTCGAATCATCCCGACAGCCATATCCCCCACGAGAGGTCCTTGGACGAGATGCCTACCTTGGCCCCCCAAAAACGTGCCGGCTCTCCACTCTCGCCATGTGATGTTGAAAGCACTGGGCATCTTGTAGTGATGTCACGTGATGCTCACTGAGGCTTCCCGCAAACTCGAAGAATGACGTGATTGCAGACAGCAACTCCACCTCATAATGTGCTGCCAGAAAACTTCATAGCACAGGATCACAAATCTTCAGCATGGGCCTCTGCATGGATGGTAGTGATGCCCACTATGTCCATGTTCCACCTCATCTCGAAGCTTTACTTACCTATCTTACCTCTTGCTACTTCTGCTAGCTAAGATAACTGCTGGTAATGCTCTCGCTTGCGACCGCGCTGGCAGGTCTCAAACCGCCTTGGTACTAAGACAAATTGCTGACTTCGGGAAACCCTGCTTGACAGCTCACACTGAGTACTGGGGAACGGGCCAGCACTGCGGGATAGATGCCCACTTCAGTGGAAGCAGTGCGGACATCTCACCTGGCTCAGTCAAGCCAGCCCACAGCAGGCACGTGAAACACTGATACCTGCCTGTTTCGGCACGCATCAAGCTGAGAACCTTTGCAGCTTCTCTACACTTGCAGCATGTGCTAATGCAAGCGTTAGATGTGCGTACTTGACAACTTCACCGCCTGTTCTCTTTGCCTATAGGGTCCTGTTTTGCTGGAAGCGATTGAGAGCTTGAACCCTGTGCTTGGGTGATTGGATGCTGCAGTAGCGCTGCCTAGTTGGCAAGTGCTGCCCTTGGGTGCGCAGGGCAGCAGTTTCCGCCACAACACAACCTCCCGCTCGCTTGCCACCCTCCTTTGCTAATCTCAAAGCCCACCACTTCCCTAAACACGTTTCTCAGGGCTTGAACAGCTAAGGTGTCCGACCTGCATGTGCCTCTGGACAGTATTGCTATTCTGGAAACGGGGATTCTTCGCCGGCACGCGCTCTTTGCTTGAAACAGCTGCCGCAACTGTCTGCTGAGGACAAGGCCATTCGGGCTAATGAGGGTGTCATCTCAGGCCTGCCGCCATCCAACAAAACCTCCTGATATGTGTCCATGTGCCCAAGACACCTCAAACATGGCTCAAAAATGTTGTTCTAGTTCTTGGTCGCTACTAAGATCTGTTGCCAAGCCCATATGTGCCAACACTGAAGTGGCAGCAAATAGAGAGCACAGCAAAGGCCTAAGTGTCACTGCCGCTCCGTCTTTGTCGACAAAGTTGTACCTTAGTTCTCTTGTTCCGGGTTGTAGCCACGTCAAAAAGTGTGCCGGATGCCAAAAAACTGAGACAAATGCATTTGTTCAGTGATCTCCTCTCCGGCCTTCCGCTTGTAAAGCTCCTGTCAAGTAGAAATTGAACTGGACACCCTGATATCGTCGAGGCTTCATTTTACATGCGTGGCCTCGTTTTCCAACACTGGTGCATCGTACTCTTGAAACCTTGGACCCGCGCAATGACGCTCTCACAGGATGCGGCTGCTATTGCAGCATCACGTCTGCTTTTGCTCTCCACCAGCTTGGCATGAGGCCCATATCGGCGAGCAATCTCTTTGAAAGCTCCTTAGGAGTTGAATATGACAACACAAGCTTCCACACTTGAAGCGTGAAAAGGCAGGTGGTACAGGTGAACTGTACGCACAAGCACACGGTCGGAATCAGTTTGCGCCGTTTTGGCACGCAGCAACTTCATTTATTGTGAAACACATCAATTTTGATTAGGCCTTGGTGACTTGGTGTTAGTCTAGGATCAACAGTTAGGCTGGCCTAGGTCAGGGTCAGGGCTGCAGCTACAGCTAGGTTCACGCATGAGCTCGGAGCCTATCCTACTCTCGACAGGCTTGGTTCACCCTACCCTCATGACAGTCCCACCAGAGGGTTCAGGATCTACTCTTTCAGGATCGGAGGTTTAGCTGGCTGTTGGTTTGCGTTTCGAGCGCTAGATATTTTCAGTTTGATGCAGGGCGTTTTGGCTTTGGCGGTTCATGGTTGCGGCAAGCTCGTTCAGTGGGAGCTTGAGGGTAATTTGAGCTCAGCCTTTCGAGGGTTCAGGGCTTTCGCCACTTTGGGCAAATTTAGGGTTGCTGGTCTTGGTCGGAGGCATTTTGGTGCTATGATTTTCTGTTTGCTAGATCATTACTTCTTCTCATGAATGGGTTCCGGAGTTCCAGGTCAGGTTTTGTTGCGTATGGGGATTTCCTAAAATTATGACTTCTTTTGTGGGGTCCCTATGATAAGGAGTATGTGGTAGCTTCCTGAAACAGTGGAACCCAATATAGACCCCAATATACTGTAGTCCCTATTGTAGGGACACCCAAAACAAGTATCCGTGATTTCGGGAAATTCCCATGTTTTCCGAAGAGGTTACAGCAGAAAAAATATAAATCTGAATTATTCGAATGTCAGCCATAATCTAAGCCCCTAGTATCCAGCGTAATAACCCTTGATACAAGTCACTATAATAATCCCTCATAGAACCCCTTAAAGGAGTTTAAATTCTGGCTCGTGTAGCAATGAGAACAACTTGAATCTGGTCCGAATGCGTAGCACGTACGTAGAGGAGTTACCGTTGCAAGTTTGGTGGTTGGGTGTTTGGGATCCTTTAGGATTTAAGGTTTGGGGTTATTGGGGAATTGCGGTGTTTTGAGGCTGAGGGCTTGGGGTTGCTTAGTTTTTTTTTGCGATTTGTTTTTTTTTTGGTTCGGCGCTCTGAATGCTTTAGGGCTTGGGGTTCTTGCGGGTTGAAGCTCTTTATAAAGTTTGGTTATGGGCTCTGTAAGGCTTATCATTCCTCAGGGGTTTCGCGTTGCCGTTCTTTAGGGCTCGGAAATCTTTAGGGATGACTGAGGGTTTAGGGTGCTTTAGGGTTTAGTTTTTTATGTTTGGCGTTTAGGGTTCGGAGTTGTTTAGGGTTTAGGTCTTCTTATTTGTTATCGCACCTTTTCTACACATCCCACATCCTGCATGAGAACATGTACGTTGGGCATGCTTTAGGGAGTTTAGGGGTCAGGGGTTTAGGGTTGCCCGTTTCGGCTTTAGGGTTTCGGGCCCTCCTGCGTGGAGCCTGGTTTCCCAAGACTAGACGATGCAAGAAGAGTCACAAGCGACAGTAGCTCTTTTTCCAGATGTTGGAAGGTTAAGGGCTTGGGGTTCTGGTACTGAACCCCTGCATCCTGCTGATCTGCTTTTCCCTAGGAGGCGTGCTACATCACTTGCGACTAGAAAGCACCGTGCTACATCCTTGCACCAAAAAAAGGCTTTAGGGTTTAGGGTCGCCCATACCCCTAGGCTTGCCCAACTTCAGCACAGGCTTATGATTAAGCCTTCTTTAGGCTTTAGGACTTGCGTTTGTTGAGGTGTTAGGGTTCGTTTTTTGGTTGGCTGGGGTTTCCTTAACTTTAGGGGCTGTGGGGTTCACGGTTTGGGGTTCTTAAGTTTCTAAGGGTTTGAGGTTCTTTAGAGCTTGGGTTCTGCAGAGCTTCGGGCTTGGGATTCTATAAAGTTTCCGGTTTGAGCGTTTTTGGGGTTTGGGAGCTCTTTATGGTCTAGTCTTTGGGGTCCTTAAGGTTTGGGGCTCAGGGTTGTTTAGGGCGATCGTTAGGGTTTAGGGTTGTTTTGCGCTTAGAATTCTTTGGTATTTAGGGATAAGGGTTCGCAGTTCTCTGCGCTTAGTCTTTGGGGTCCTGTAGGCTTACGGTTCTTTGTGGATTGCGATGTTTTGCGCTGTAGGCTTTTTTGGGGGTTAGCGGTTCTGTGAGCTTTAAGGCTTGGGGTTCTTGAGGGTTGCAGATTTGGAGATCTTTAGGGTTTAGAGTCTGGCCCGCGTTCTTTAGGGCTCGGGGCTCTTCAGGGATGTTGGTTAAGAGCTTTGTAGGGCTTAGGGTTCTTTCGGCCTTGGCGATTGTTTTTTTTGCAGCCCCTCCTTGGCGATTTTTAGGGCTTAGGATTCTTTAGAGATTAGTTAGGGTTGGGGGTTGCTTAGAATTTAGAACCTTCAAAGGAGGGTCCTTTGAGGGCTTCGGGTTCTTTGTGGATCACAGTGTTTCACGATTTAGGCGGTTTAGGGCTTGGGGTTGTTCGAGGTTCAAAGTTCTTTCGGGTTCATGGTACTAGGTTCCAGGGTTGCCCAGGGTGTCAAAAGTGTGGCCTTATTCTTTTTCTTTTGTTGTTGTTGTTGTTGTTGTTGTTAGGGTTTGGTCTTCAATAGAGCTGCAGGCTTTTCAGCATTTGTGGAGTTCTTCAATCTTTCAATTTTAAGCCCTAGGGACAGACATTTGTCTGCACGAGTTCTTCAGGGTTTAGGTTCGGGTTCTGCAAGGTCTAGGGTTTTGGGTACCAACCCATATGCACAATAACCAGCACTTGAACATGGATTCTAAGCTCGAAGAGCGCTGGATTCCCCAGGCGTTTCATGAGATCCAAGTATGCAGACAGGCGTCCAAAAAGCCAGTTGCGGAACCTGCAACTGCGCATCATTTTCATGTCTGCCTTGTTTATGTCGACTGCGCTTGCATTTTTCATAGATTCAGCAGCATGCTGCAGGGTTGCCTCATGTCGGCTGGGAAGAAGTCCCGTGTGCCGCTTGGCGGGTCCAGGCTGATGGCCGGGCCTTTGGCAACAGCCTCGCAGGGCATCACAGGGCAAGGAGTATCCGGAAGCATCTTGCGCATGTTTTTGCAGCACAGCCAGGCCCTGCCTTCTTATCATCTTTTTTCTTGTCACTTTTGCCCTGCATTTCGGCAAAGCAAGCACCATGGACGCATGCCATTCGTGCACCTTCCTAGACAAAGGCCGAGGAATTTCATGCAGTAGGTTGCAAGGATTGCAGCAGTAACTACTATCTTCAGTCCAGGCTTCAACAAGCAAAGCTTTGCGGGCCTTCTCTTTCTCGCCCATGGCAACCCCTCGGCCTCGCCCTGCGTTGAAGATGGCATACAACCAATCTGAATCTGTGTCGAGCAAGATGTTCATACTCGGGCCCTCGCGGCCGTGGTGACCCCCAAGTTCCGGGATCCTACGCTGCCTATGCTATGAAGACAATTCTGCGCTGGATGCGGGCCACGTTGCCAGCTCTGTCAGGCAATCCTCTGCCAAAATTACATGTGCTCAGCTGTGCAGCTGCTGCATCTACAACTTGAACATCACATGCCATTGATGTATGACCAATAATTAGGGCCGACAGGGTGCAGGGCCATCTGCTGCTTTGCATCTGCATCTTCTGCAATGCCGTGTGCTGTTGCAGCCCAAGACACTTCAGCGGTGGTGGATCTTTGCCACCCACCGGTCACAGGAAGCTCCCTCTACGGAGTCGCGCCTGCAGTGGTAGGCATGCAGGCGCTCCAACGCACAAACAACAATGAGAGACGCACTGCAGGCACCATGGCAAAGAAGGGCTCCTCATCCCGCACGGGGTGTACAGGAAGCCCGGGCGAGGCCATCCAAACCTCCAATAATGTTGGCGCGAACCGTTAACAACTACTCTCTCTCCAGACAGGCTGAGACCGACACACTGAAGTTTACGCCTTGTCGCCTACGGCACACAGAGCATGCAACAAATGACCGGGCATAGCAGGAATCTTCAAAAAACGAGTCGTAGTAGCTGACCATGCATCACCGAGCATCCAGCACTGGAGTCATCACCATGGCTCTGCCAATGTTCTTCAAGCAGTGGCCCGCCTCTTCAGCTGAATATTTCAAGCGGGATGCCGGTTGGCAAGACGACTGTGCAGGACATTCTTACAAAGGCTTCAATGATATGCATCTTTTGGCATAGGCCCACCTCCGTAAGCAGATGCGCTGCATCGTCCCTGACATCTGCATCAGAAGTCGGGCCGCAAGATAATTGATCGAACAACATCACTCGGATGTTCCTCTACTGCCAGTAATCTTACAAGCTTTCTGATAAAGCGCAACGCACTTCGAGCCCTCACGTAGGTTTGTGCATATCTGTTAATCGCTGGCAGTATTAGCACCGACGAGGGGCTTTTGGATGCACAGAAGCTCGAAGAGCAGCTGAATAGAAAGCAGAACGCTTTCATTGAGTGCCAGATTTTCAGCATGCAAGTCCAACGGCAAGTTTTCCGACAAAAAAAGAAACAACCATGTGGCGTCACGGGTTCGCTAAGGATGTGATGCACTGGGCGGTGTGCCGCGTCTAGCATTCCCTGTCCTCACTCTTCGTCAGAGCTTGTCCCTCAGTCAGTCAGTCAGTCATACGCCATGCGGCGCGTGGACAGGCAAAAGCTGGCTCACCGTACGTCACCAAACAACTGGATTCTGTACAGGTCCAGCGACGTCCTGGTGGCCGCCAAAGTGTTCAAAAGCTTTGTTTCTAACTTCGGTAACCCATTCACGTCTCGGTCTGCCAACCGTTCTGACCTGGTTGAAAGCTTCCAGGAATGAATGCGGCAGTGTGCAGGGGATGGTCAAGTGAAAATTTGAGCGTTTTCCCCAAAAGCAGGAACTGACGCCGCAAAAGTAAATCAGTATTGGCACAGCAGCCGGCTCACCGCCTGGTTTCAGCATTCGAAATTCGCGAAATGAACGCGGAAGGAATGCCCAAAATGCTCCTCAAGCAGGGGTTTTGAAACCCATCAAATCGACGACGATCTGCAGCTGAAAGAGCTTGCCGCTGGCAAGTTTAAAATCTAAAGCTGATGAGTCACCTTGCACGGCCTTCGGCAAAGGTGCTTGATGCTGACAAAAGGGCTTCAGTGGACACATGTGGACCGAACTGGTGAGTCTGATGTGCGTTCTTGAGAATGCAACAGGATGGCATTCTTACTGACAAATGGATTTGATGCCAATGCCCTGAGTGGCCATCTCGGAGCCTGACGGTCATGCTGTGACGCGTCACGCGGTTCTAAAAACACGTTTGCGACTGGCATACACAGAGGCTGTGATTACAGACGCGCAGTTGTCTGGTCTCCTCGCAGCATTGCTTTGAAGATTGCCACTCTGGAGTGTTTAGATGAATGAGCCTACGACAGTGTACGACTATCTCGGGCCCGCACGGTGAGGAGGCACCAGGAGCCCGCTCGGCTGCTGGCAAGCAAGCCTCATCAGCTTCTGCCCAGGGCCTTTCAGGCGTCTCTGCTGTGAAGCACTGACTAGCTGTGTTGGATGCCTCATGGCCAGCTTCTTGTCCTTGTCCGAACCCGGCATCTGGCCGTGGAATGTGAAAGTCGAATCCTGGCAATTTGCTCAAGCCCCATCTGCGCTTTCGCTTTATGCGGCCACCTGGGTCTGGGGGCACAGTGGCATTAAGCGATTAGTTAGTGAAAGACATTTCATGCGCAAGTTGTCATACAATACAGCTGGAATGCCAGGGCTACAGGTCCGCCATACTCCTCCATACTTCACGATCGACTAGATTTCAGCAGCGCGTCACCTAAAGCCCTGTCGAGGCATGCTATCCTCCGAAGACCGACTAGGTCATTTTCTGTCCGGGTCCGTCTTCTGATTTCATGTCTGAAGGTAGAATGCTCACTTTCGATTTATCAGTAGCAGGTAGGAGATCGAAGGTTCTCAGCAGATATCTGCACCAAGGTCCTGCGCCCTACCCGGAGGTCCACAATCCCCAGCTATCTCAAAAGCCCTGAGCAGTTGCCGGAGCTGAATCGCACTTGAACGCCACAAAGCCTTGAAGCCTGAACATCGGTCCCAATGATCGGGGTATTGGGACTTGTCGTTTTGCTCTGGAATGGGGCAGGTGAACATGGGAGGTGTGGCTGAGCCGGAGACGAAAAGAATTTATGGGAGCTGCTCAGAAGCTTGGCCTGGTCCGTGAAGAGGTGCTTTATGAGGGAAGAACCTGCGAAAGGGATCTGCGAACTTCCTCACATGATATCAAGTGCATCTGCCCCTTTGCAGACTTGGGACCTCCGCTTGCACAACCTTGGCCCAGATCAAAATGCAATCTTGCAAGCCAGGTGCCAAGAGATGCCAAGAGGCGCCCGAGGTGTGCCATGATGGTTTTCATCTCCAGCGGGTCAATCGTCTCGTCTTTCACGGCCTGATAAAGACTCTGGGCAGCTGACATCTAGCTTGGCAGTCCTGCTCATTTTCACGAACCCTAAGCCAGCATGAATCTCAGAAACATGCTAGGCCTGCTTCAAGGACAGGGAGCTTTCTAGACAGGACTTCACGATACCGCTGGTGTCACCTTGCCAGCCAAAAGCAATGGGTGGGCTTCAGAGGAGCAGCGGCCGTCTAGCACAACAACACTGGCCTCTCTCTGGCTCATCTGACAAGGAATAGTTATCCCCTTCTATCCGTGGAAGCGTCTCGTTCTCGTTTGCCTGTGCGAGGATTCATGGCAGCTTTGGCGTGACCTATGCCCGTGATGTTCACTCTGTGCACTTGCTTCTGCCAGGATCCGCTTGCAGTAAATATCGACTTGCCCTGATGAACAACAATCTTATCTGTTAGCTATGGTCAGAGACCCTTCGATTCCCTTAACCAGGGGGCCCATACTTCTAACCTTTGATTTTAGGCACTCAATTGAAGACATGCCTGGCTGCGGACGCTGGCTTCCTGGCATCAACAAGCCAGCCCCCCAACATGTTTATGCCCTGGTACTTGCTAACGTTCTGGCAACAGCCATTGCGCCTCCGAAACGGATTCTTCCTGTGGTTCCAGCAGCTTGCGCTCAAGCCTTGACAACGCGGAATGAGGCTACTTATGGTAAGGGTCCTGCCCCTCTCGCTGGAATGATCGAGAGCACGTTTTCCCATGTGACTTCGTAGACAGCTTGCAGCATGAGCAAGTGATTTTAACCATTACGAAGCTTCAACAAAGTGCTGCAAGAGGTTTGCTGCCGGTGTCTTCTTGGTTTGCTACCGGTGGTGACAGTGAATGAGAAGCATGGCCCCGTCATGGATCGGATAGTGACCCCTACATCAGTCAGATGCAGGGCAGTTTTTCTTTTGATATCTGAGTGCTGCGACTGTCGCAGGCATGCATACTCGTGCTCCAAAGGATCTCAATATGAATTGGACAAAGTCCATGCCACCCCTTTGGTGAAGCTAGGCCTGGCGAGGGTTCCTTGCATGGTGGAGTTCTGATCCATGTCAGAACAGAGGCTAGACTTGCGTGTGATGCCACGCTTTGCTAGCAGTTCCTGCCTCCTGCAGTGCGTGTGAGAAACTCAATGGCTAGAAGGCCTTTAAGTCACACAACCAGACAGCAGCCAAGGCCGAAACTCCCACAGGCGATCTAGAGAACCTGCCTGGCAGCAATCTTCGACAATGAGGCATTTTCTAGCAACTCGTCACGTCGTAACAGCTTCACCCTAAGATGCTCAGCTCATAGCAAAGGCAGTGTGATGTGTCCAGGTGTCCTGATGAAATGGCTGAACAGCAAATCCTAACTGATCCTTGCACAAGAGCTGTTGCAGCTGCAACAAAGCTATTGATTCCCTAAAATCACGCCCGCACTGCTTGTTTGGCTTTGGGATTCAGACAGTTCATATGCGGCGTTTAGGTTGGCCCATTCCCCGTTCTTTAATCCGCTCGCCGTGGAGTGTGTCTTCGACGTCTGCCTGGCTGTACCACGTCATAAGAAACCCTCTCCCAGGCATCCGACCATCTGACGTCAGCTGCGACCCATCCAAGCGCTTCTCTCATTTGCCCTTCTTTACGATGAGATCTGCAGGTGCCGCACAAATCATAGCATGAGGCATCTGATGCATGTGCTCAGGCGATGGATCCTCTCCGACTATCTTCAGAGTGGTTAGATGTGGTCAAGGCGGAAGCGCGATAGCGAGAAACTAGCGAGAAACTCTTTGTACATGAGCTGTGCCATGTTGTGCAACCAAGTCCGCGACGCCCCTCCATCCCACAGTCATGAGACTAAGTGCAAGGATGTGGGGGTGATGGGAGAGCTAATCAGATGTTCAGTGGGTGCTGCGCAGCGTAGAGCTACCAAAGAGTGCTCACTCAGAAATTGCTGACTCCGCTTTTGTTGCATACCTTTGACACTGGTTCCTCTGGTGACTGTTAAAGCTTACCAGCTGAGGCTTGCAATGACAGCCCATCATCTAAGATGCCAGCACTGCAGCGGAGCCAGAATGGCAACAAGTTTTTGGGCGTTGGGCGCGCACCATGTCTTTTCCGCCCTCTAGCTAGGCTACATTCTTCTTAGCTGTCCTTGTAAACCGGCACGAGAGTATCCTTTGCGACTTTGCGAACAAATCCCGCTGAAAGCAGTTGTTATGTTGCATTCAGGATTTTGTAACGTGAGAGCAGTGTGCATAGTAGGCTGCTGATCTAAGCACAGGCGGAACGTCTGTTTTCTCCATCACAGTCACAGCGAGCAGCTTTCATCCTGCCGAGCGTCAGGCGGCGGCTTGAAGTCAGGAATGGACTGGCGCGCACTTCATAACATAAATTTCACATCCGCAATGCTCGATCAGACAGGGACCTCCACGCACGGACGCAAGCGACGGAGCCGACGGCGAGCTTGGCCTGCCTGCAAGGCATGCAAACCGTTTCTCCATAGTAGGCGCAAAGCAGCAAGGGTGTCTTTTTTCTTCGACCTAGTCCAGTCCTCATTGGAACCGGTATGCGCAAGAGAGTTGATTTCGCGCTTTGATCAATCCAAGCTGAAGCAATCAAACTGCGGCATGTCACTGTCCTCCATGTAGTCGCCCCAAGTCACTACATATCCATCAGCACGAACTGCGGCAAAAGCAGATTTTGAGGCGGTGATAGACCTGATGTTGACCAACTCTTCCAACACGTCTCTGCTGAGGCCTGTGGAGTCCGAATGCGCTTCGTGCATGAAATGCATGCAAGATACACAGCAGCGCAGAGTAGCTCCCTTATGGCTAGCACATGCTAAGACCTACCGTGCGTGTACTGACATCCAAACCAGATCGTGGCTGATCGTGATTTCACTCTTGCCTCCAAACATGGGATCACCCCAGGTGACGACAGTCCCGTCGGCTCGCAATGCTGCAAATGCGGCATTTGAAGCCACAATGCGGCGGACATTGTGCAACAGGTGGCGCACCGAACTGCTATCTCCGCCGTAGTCCTTAGGTTGGTCAACTGCTCTGCAGATGTCAACTGACCATTTAACATCCAAGTGCTGCTGTACTGAATGGTCTAGACTAGGCAGTCAAAGACATCAGGCAAGACTCGTAAGCACCCCAAGTTATGACACTGCCGACGGATTTGATCGCTGCAAATGCATACATGGATCCACAGACGTCTTGAATCTCGGTCAGCTGCTCGATTACTTCGTGGCAATTTCCACCGGTTGCATGGTCGCCCCAGGTCACAACTCTCCCATCGTTCCGGACAGCTGCAAACGCAAAACGATTTGCATGGACTTGAATGATGTTTTGCAGATGGTGGGCAACGCCTCCCAGTGCTCCCCCACCTTGTGGAGATCCCCAGGCAACCACGGTGCCATCATCCCGTACAGCCGCAAAGGCACAGCTTGAAGAAGACACAAACTTTACTGATCCAAGTTCCGCTGGATTTGGCATCGCACCTCCGCAAAAGTTACCCCAGGTAACAACTTGCCCGTCTGCACGCAGCGCTGCGAAGGCAAAGTCTGAAGATACAACGTGTCTGACATTTCGCAGCTCATCCTGGACACCGGAGCTGTCACCACCATTGATGGGATCTCCAAAGGCAATCAGATCTCCTTGTTCAGTCAGCGCTGCATATGCGTACTTGGCTGCCTCAACGTGGATGACATCTACGAGTCGATGTCTCAACTCTTCAAGTCTGCCTCGGCAGATTGGCTGTTGAACAACACTAGTTGCCTCCCCTTTCGCCAACACCACAGCCTTTCAGCCAAATCGCTTGTGGTTCTCGTTTCGCCCCACGCAATCATGGTTCTATCAGTCGTGACGGCTGCAAACCCAAAGTCACAAGCAAACACGTCTTGCACACCAACAAATTCTCGACCGCCCCCACAGCTGCTTCTGCCCCAGCTCACCACCTGCTGCTGGTTGGGAAACGGACGCTGCAGCTCAATGGAATCAATGGAATTCACACTAGTCAGGGAGATGATTGAGAGCCCTTCATGCTTGAACATTTCACAGTGACTCTGAGCCATTAAGATTCTGGCTGCAGACATTGTTTGCAGCGAACAGCTGGTGTCCGTGTCAACAGATTCCGCCAGGGTGAGCATCAGATCATGCTTTTTGCAACTCCTCGCCTTGCCGTCAGTCTGTAGCGCTGCGAAGGCACCGCTCGTTGCCACCAACTTGCGGACATTCGTCAAGCCTTTCACTGCAGCGTTGTCACCACCACCTTCCAAGGACAAGATCGTATCACAGCCCCTGGAAACTAGACCTTGATTGCAATCAGCTGAGCGGTGTGGTCACACAAAGCCGTAGAAGTCCTGTCGACAAGCACCGGCCTTCTGCACATCCCCATGACAGAACTTTCCCAGTTCGACGGATGGCCGCCCAAGCTTGCCTTTACGCGCGTGTGGTGCACGTGCTTACTGGGGTGCCCGGGCAAAGCGCGAACAGACCAAGCCGCTTTAAATGCATCCTGGCCACCCATGCGGATGGGTGCAAAGCTGCGCTCCATCAACAACCACCGCTGTGAGCTGCAGGCCCGTGCGGATGTTGAGCTGACAATCAGTTTTTTGTGCATAATCATCTTACACCGTCTCATGCAAATGACCTGCAACCTGTCTTCCAGCCCACAAGACCACGTTTTCAAGACTTTTTCTAAGGCCAGGAAGGGGGTGGAGGGGCACAGGCAGTTCTGGCCGAGACAACAGTACAATTTCCCTCAAACACCCTGCCTGTTCAAGAGTTTGGTGCTCTGGCAGCTGCTCACCGCCAGGGCCCACCAGTACCAACCCGCGAGTCGCCAAGGCCTCACATGCTAGGAGACCAGCAAAAACGATTTGCGTACTATTTGTGTGTACAAGTTCTGCATGAGGTAGGTCTCGGGATCGCAGGATCGAGTTCAATGCATCTCTCACTCGCTTGAAGATGCCGTCTGTGCCGTCTATGAGCCTCTTCTGCTCGTCTGCGCAGGGTCCAGGCTCGGGCCGTGGGCGACACCGTCAAGCTGACGCAGACCCCGCTGAGAAGCGCAACCGACAAGGAGATGTCGCCCATCTCCGCACTTCAGATTGCTTTTCCGAGTCTATGACAGTGGTTCCGCTGCTGCTCAAATGCTCTGGCTAACTGATTGCGGATGCTTGCAAGCTTTGCCCTTTGCTTTGGTCTAGCTGGCTTTTGCATGTTTTTGACAGGCGCCACATACTGAGGCGAGATTGGAAGCCTGGGCTGTTGTCGAAAAAACCTACAACCCATCGGCAAGTGAGCGAAGTCAGATAGAGACAGCTGGGCAGAGATGATTCCTCGGGTCATGCTTTCAGATTCGTTCTACACAGCTTCCTCTTATGCAGAAATTCGCCCGCCAGATCTGGTGCTGGCCTTGCATTTCACATGTGCGCAACTGTCCGAAAGGAGTCCCAAATGGACGTGTGAGAGCATGCGAAAACACTCCAGATGCTGTCTTGCAAATGCTTGCTACGATTCCCACAACGCATGGCCTGACTCCACCGTGCTGGCACCGCTTCCTGCTCAAGGTCCACTTGGCAATGCTTTGGGATGAGGCTGGCTGAAGTCAGTACGACGCCCTAGCCACTGTCTGTGCAGGTTGGACCCGGGAAGGAAACTAGGACCTCTGCACTAGCATGTGCATTGGTGTTCTTTGACATCCCATGCAGCATGACTAGGTGCACCCAATCTGAGGACTGTGTCTCCCGACGCTCATGTGCAAATGTGCCCCCAACCTGTGCTGCCCGCAGCCAAGGAAAGAGTGGCCTCGATGTGCTTAGAACAGCTTACACACACCTGCATCTGAAAGTTCTGTGTACACTGGACATTTCACATGGCAAAGGGCAAAACGCCCTGGAGGCCGTCCCAAGTCGAGCCTCCTGCATTCTGGCACGCTTAAAATTGTAGCGAGTCAAAGCATTGGCACGCCGCCACTTGGAGCCTTGTAGATCTATCTTCCTCGCACCTGCATCAACCGGGTAGGACTTGGCTTGCATTCCCGGAGCTTCTTCAGCCCACCTCTCGCAATACCAATCTCCTGCTGGAACCGCAGAAAGTCCCACGCAGAAAGTGTGGTACCTGCAGCAGGGTCTCTTGGAAGCCATTCGGTGGCCAAAGTCAACATCAAGAGCAGCCATTGTAAAGGTACCCAGCGTCGCAGCCATCACAGAGCAACAGAGATTCCGCATCTTGACTACCACCGCAGACCTTTCGTTTGAACATAAAGGCATGCGGAACTCGCGGAATGAGCCGAGCCTGACAGCAGTCTTCAAATCCATCCAACGCCTGCGCCATTCAACAGGCCGTGATGCGGCACTGTAGCTGAATGTGTTGGATGAGGTCAGCATACGGCAGCATGGACGGCTCATATGATCAACATCCATTGGCGTGCATCGCGCTTTTGCCGCTCGCCGAAACAAGCTGTTATCTATTTACTCTGTCCTGTCATTCATTAGCTTCTCTACACTGTCCGCAACCTCAGAGCTGAGGTTGTTATACCTCGGCAACATGAGAAGAGAAATGCTCACCTGAGAAGCGGCGGTGGAACAGAAGGCAGCGCGAAGCTGGTTAATTGATGCGAGCCAGGCTGCAGCAAGTCCAGGACCTTAAAGCTGAAGAACATGCAAACTTTGCAGCTGCAACGCATTGCAAGGCCTGCAGTGACTGACTGTATGAGACCATGTTGAACATGCTAATCGAAGGACAGTACGAAGATCTTGCTGATTCCCTCGATGTTCACTTCAACAGACTTCAACATGATATCAAGGTCAAAAGAGGTCAAAACGCCTGCAGCCTTTTTTTGCTGCAGCTCAGGCCGCCGCTACAAGCTCAAGGTTTTCGCCAGCTGCTTCCAGGAGCTGCTTGCCACCCTCATCCCCTTTGCCGAAGAGTCGTGCAGGGATTTGACGCTGTCTACATCTTCAAGCTGTTTTCTGCATGCGGCAAGCCAAGGCACCAATGGCATTGCCTGCCAGAGCCAGGGAGCACAAAGGCGCTGCGCGTGCCGCCGCGGCCAGCGAGACGGCTCCCTAGGCAGGGCGGGGTTAAGACCGGACCAATTTGTGAGTGTGTGTTTTTTTGGGTTGTTTTTCGGTCACTGGCAAACCTCCGTCTGGTCTTTGGAATCTGCTGTGCAAATACTGCGTTTCACCAGATTTGACATACTTCGGAGGAACCAAATACTGTAAATGCAAGATAAGCATTCGGAGCGGGGATGAGCGGGGATGAGCGGGGCTGCAGAGGAGGGGCCACTCCCCCCCGCACACCAGTTGCATAAAGACCAGACAGGATTTGCACGGACCATGATGTACCAGTAGCAATAGGAATGATGTACTATGGACCATTACAAACAAAACAAAAATCATAGGACACCGTCAAGAAGATCATGTGTAGGCTTGACATGGCTTGACCCACATGTCGGAACGGCTGTACTTGCGAAACAGTTGTCAACGCAGGCTATTGCAGGCAGGCAAAAGGCATCCACACGCTGTTCACAGTAGTGTAGGTGCCAGACATCATCAGGCATGCAACAGGCAGCAGGATGTCATCAGTTGAAAGGCATGCTTGGCTCCTGGTCAGTGATGGAGTTGTGCGCCAAGGCCAGGCTCTTGAAGTTGCCATGCTTCCTCAGTGGTCCAACCTAACAGGACCTAACAGAAGAACTGCTGGTTGCCGTCTGCAGGGTCCAGGATATGCCAGGATGCTCAAGAGCAGCAGCGATATGATTTGTGCCAACATCACCGATGCCTTGCAAAGGCAGAGCTGGCCGACAAATACATGTCAAAGACAAGCAAGCTCCGCAATGGCAGTGTCCAGCTCCCACCCAAAACCATGCTGACAATCCCCTAATATGCTCTGATCCAACTGGACCATCGACTCCTCACAAGTTGTACAGCCTGACTCACAATGCACAGCATACCGAGTCCTGAAGCCATGCTCTGGAGAACGATGAGTCTAATCGTCTGACCCCAGCGGCCACGGCTGCAGAGCTATGCCGGGCTCAATGTGAAAACCCAATGCAAGGTACTCACATGCCTTCATCTTCCTTCATCTTGCGTCAAGGTGGCTGTTGCCTGTGAGGTCCAAGCATGTCAGCCGGCCGTTTGTCTTTAGCATCTCCTCTGCTGGCCATCAGCACGCGCAAAAGTTGCTTTTCGCCAGGCATGCAGGTCTTGCAAGAAACATCAAAAGCGGCTTCAGGTCCAACTGCAGATTTTTGCTGCCAAAATGCAGCCACGAAGGCAGAACCCTGTTCCCCAATCTCGTTCCTTGGAGGAGCACGGCTTTCCAGCTTAGAAGGTCTGTTTGAACGTGTCTCTAGCCACAACAGACCCGCAACAGAGTGCTGTGTAGGGATACGTGACACTAGCCAGCATACTAGCATGCATGCTGGAAAGATGAATTCTGAAGTGACCAGACATGCATTCCTTAAAGCAAGACAAACAGTGCTCTTTGCTTCTCTCGTTGTAGACTGGGCTTCTGCTGCAGCGTCAAAATGCGCAAGGACGCATTCTGGGAGACTGCGCTGCAGAGACACTCTGCGCCATCCGCATCGATACGGTTGCTTCCCAAGTTCAGGCTGGTCACAGTGGAGTTTTCCTTGGTTTAGAGCCAGGTCATTTCTGCGGAAGGCATGCGTGACAAAAGATTGCAAGCCCAGAATCGGCTGAGGCCCTAGGAGAACAGCGCTCAGATTTATCTAACACCCTCCCCTCAGCGCAACTTAGCCTCTTAGGCAAGAATTCCAAAATCTTCCCCTTGGTACAGCACGGGGTCCGGGCTTCCCGGCCAGTCCTGACCCTAAGTCCTTGCAGCCTAGGGCGGCTTGGATGCTGAGGGCTTTTGCCAAAGCCTTTCGAGAAATCTTAACACCTCCCAGACCTTCCACGTGCATATCTGACGTTATGTTGAGCAGATCCTGGTGTCCTAGCAAATGCTGCGCTTGTGGGGCATTTGCAGGCCTTCCCTGGCATTGCGGTTGAGAGCTTTTGCACCAACAGCAGTTTGCTGCCACCAAGTGTCTGCCAGAGCAGGACACATCAGCTCAATTCCCTGCGAGCCAATCTCATTCATGGCCAGATCCAGGAATGCCACACCACCTCAGGGCAAACCCGGAAAGCCACATGACTCCACAGGCATCATCCGATCACTGCAATTGAAAGTTCGGAATGGGTTGCCATCCGGATTGTTGCAAAGGTTGCATCAAGACGTCGACCAATGCCCCAGCCTGCATCTTTGATGCTTGACAGGACATACTGCGCCCCAGCACCTCATTCGAGAAAGAGAGACTGGCAACATGTGCAAAAGCATTGAGAACTTTGACACTCCAATCACAGCATGGAGCTGCCTGAGAGCGACTTCAACTCGCTGTGGGGTTCATAAGGCTCTGACAAGTGAGAAGGCCTGAACGACGTGGCTAGTGGCTGCGCGACTCCCCGGTCCCGGCGCGTGTCTTTACATTTCCGCGAAACTCTGTTCAACAACCATAGCTAATGAAGCAGCAACATGATGAGCCGAGCATTGGTTCAACATTGTCGTCATTGCGCGTAGACGTAAGAGTGGCCGTCGCTGTAGCATCAGTAGGTAGAAGAGGTGCTACCGGGAAATGGACAGATTACCTGCTTGTTGGACGGGTATTAATCTGCGTTTTTGAATTGATAAAATCCTCATAAGTCCAACGATTTCTTTTTGGGCTCGGCCAACGGCGAGTCACGGCGAGCGAAACCGACAGCCGTCAACTGCTGCAATGCCGAGCAAAAAAGCGAGAGCATTGTGAGGGCGAGGGGTCGGAGCTAACGGTGAGACTTGAACCCACACTGAACCTCTAAACCACCCACGTGTCCGCGCGGGCCGGCAAAGCCTTTAGTCACGGCAAGAGTTGCAATACGTTCTCCGTGATGCTGCGCGCGACGAAGCAGATCTAAGCCCAAAACGCCACCACACCCCCAACCCGGAGGAACCCCAAATCCTAAATTCTAAAAAGCCTCGAAGCGTAAAACCCCTAACATCCCCAACCCTACCCAACGGGAAGCCTACACCTTAAAAAATGACTGGCGTGGACGACCCAAACCCTAAACCCCACACAATCCCAATCCCTAAAAACCACAACAACCGCAATTCCAAACCGTAACAACCGCAAAATCCTCAACAACTGCAAACAATAAAACAACAACCACAACCCCAAAGCCTCAACAACACGAAGCCTAAACCATGAACAATCCGAAGCAGTCAACACTTAGCCCTGCACAATCCCAATGGCCCAAACCGTAAATTTCCGCACATCCCCTAAATGCAAAACACAAAAGAACTCTGAACAGAAACTCGAAAAAGCAACTCCCTGAACCCTAACCCTAAACCGCGCACCCGAAACCCTAACCAGCCCCAAACCCGAAACAACCCAGCACCTAAACCTTGCGCACTCCGAAGCCCTGAACAGGTCTGAAAAAGTGAAACCTGACATCCCAAACCTCAAACTGAATCCTAAAACCCCAACACCACCCAAGCTCTAGACTAGACAACCAACCCGACACAGTGCCAAAGGCCAAAATCTAAATAGCTCCAAACCCCAAACCTGAAACAAGAGTGCGCGCTCACAACCCCAAAGCCTAGACCCAGACAAACTCAAGCCTCAAATAACCCCAAAGCGCCGAAATAAGCATGATAAACGTCTCAACAATGGTAGTGGTGCTTCTGCATGGATAGGGTGGGTAGCAGGAGGGAATGAAGTGGCTAGCCCGCGTCACATGCGCACTGACTTCCTCCAGTGTAGTGAGTGTAGAGAGTGTAGTGAACAATAACACTGACAAGAGCAATCCAGGTAACGGTCTAGTAGGAAGAAACAGAACAGCTCGCCAAGAAGCAGCAATGTACAAAAAGCGAACTGGAAGCAAAAACAGGCGATTACACAAACCAGGAGGCAGAGCAGCGGAAAAGCAAGTGGAAGAACAGCTAATGGTACCGGTGCACGAACAGGAAATTGAAGCAGAAGCACACCTGCAATATTTAACAATGCATCAAGTGCACCGCAGATTCTGTTGCCGCTCAAGTTCAGGCTTGTCAACGATGACCTTATAGGAAGGCAAGAGGAGACGCGGCTGGAAACAATACAAAAGATCTTTTCACAAGAATTTGTTTTGAGGATCCAACGCTGGCAGGCCGGCTGCGAGAAGCTCGGCTCCGTGGATGCCAAGCCTTTTAGCTGCCAGCTCCGCAGGAACGACCGAAATCCAATGCTTCCCAAGCGCTGGTTGTGGCCCAGATCTAAGTGTTGCAGGACACCTCAATCAAGCACAAAGATGCTGACATGCAGAGAGGCGGTGGTCTTGCAAGCTGAGGCGCAGTTCTTTGGCAGCACAGCGGCCAAGCGTGTCACACCCTCCGTGTAAATGCTGTTGCCCTGAAGTTCCTCGAGGGCAAACGCGCATCAGGCTTTGTATGCTTCATTTCTGCTTTGTTTCATTGGAAGCTGCGGACCAGACTAGCCTGAAAACCTTATCTTGGTCCATCCCAAGACCTTTTGCGAGTTCTGATGCACTCCGCATGACCTTCTGCTGGATCGTTAGACCAATCTCTGCCCTAGCCTACAGATCTGGACCTGCTTTTCATGCCTTAGTACTAGTCAGAGCCTATCTTTCACCTCTGAAGAATCTCAGATGCAAAGCCTACTTCGGCTTTGCCACGCCCTGCGGGTCAAACCCTTTGTTGGGATCTGGGGAAAGAGCCCTGGGATGCTGACATCGAGGCAAGTACAAGCTCTAAGGGATTTGGAACCCAGCTAAATGTTAGGATTGTTGGTAACAGAAATTGAAAACTATTTTCAGGAACCTTGTAGCAAGGACAAAGCACGTATAGTATCTCCAGATTGCAGGCATCGCGTGCTGGAGGTCCATTTCTTCCTGCTAAGGGTAGGAAGCCCAGAAACTCAGCTAAATAGATTGGGGCCATCTGGCACCATGGACAAGAATCCAGCTGTTGGATTGTGGAATTCGTCTCCAGCAATTTCACTAGCGCCTCTGCAATCTCATCTCCTGAATTCCAGGTCTGGACTGGCCACAAGTATGGACATGTGGGCGTAGTAGGGGATGTTAAGGGGGATACGAGGAGTTTAGACTATGGCCCTATGGCTCATGTTGTGCGCATGTCTGAGAACTGATTGAGCAGCATTGCAGGCTAAGGTTCCAAGGTCGTTGTCATTCAGAACTAACCTCTTCACCAGCTCGTTTTCCATGAAATACCCGAGGACTTTGGCACCTTATCAGGAACAAGTAGCAGACCAAAAGGCTTTGCTTCGAGCTACATCGAACTCATCAGGTGCAAACTTGGTTTAAACTAGTTTGCGTTTAGTCACTTGAACTTACGATGCCTTCAGACTGCTCTTCTAAAAGTGAATGTGCCATTCACGAGCCATTTGCTTCTTTCGTTTGCCAGGCGAAGCAGCGCAAGTGAAGTCCCTGCTGTCACATGCGAGGTGGAGCGCAAGTGGCAATGCCAGGCAGACCGGACTCATGAAATGCCTCGCTAAAGTACCAGACGTTCTGCAATGTGATACATGGATTGTGGACAGGAACCGCTGCCCCAGCAGTGTGGCAGACTGAAGGAGGAGTGCGAAGATTTGAACACATTGCCAGAAAGCAACCACTTGCGATATGTAAACACAGGCACCAAGCTGTGTGGTTCGAAGCACCTGCCCCCATAGCACGCCGTCCAATTCGCAATGCAAGACTGCAACAAGACAGAGTCCCAGCCATGTGACCACGAGGGCTTCAAGCCACATGATTCGTGACAAATTTTGAAGTCTGAAGGACAAATGCGAAGAGCAGCAAGCAGCGAAAAAGAGTGCTAACACATGCGGAAAGGCGTAGTGTAGCGCGCAGCAAAGCAAACAATGAGAGATGAAAACTTTAGAACATGCAGGTCAAGTCTTGAGTGGCTGTCTGCTGACATCGTCTGGTTTGCTTGTCGAGTTCTGGGCTGGCTCCGTTGCTTGTTGCGTTCATGGGATTAGTTGACCCTTTATGGCCGCTGCCTGCACCGTCGCCGAGGGCATTGTCACTCAAGTCCACAGCTGTGATATTGTGGCTCTTCTCCTGCCCACGCATACGCATGATCAGTGTGCTTAAAGCCAGCAGAATCGAAACTTCTGCGCGGAAGCTCAGCCAGTTTCCGGTTCAAACTCTCAGCGCCTTGAGAGCCGAAGCAAGGGTCTCAACATCTGCCGCCTGCTGGTTAACAAGGAACTCGAAGTTAGTGCCTCAGGCCTACAATGCCTGCAACTGTGTGAGGACAAGCCCGACAAGCCCCGCCTCAAGCCCACCGTCGCGGAGATTCAGCTCAGCCATGACGAAACTAAAGCTGTGGCTACGTAATGCTACGCAGTTGCCCTGGTTGCTTGTTCTGCCATGCAGTCCACAAACACATCAGTCTGGCATTCTGTCGCGTGGCTGTGACCTGTCTGCAAAATTAGGATGTGAACCTCAGCAACATCAGGATGATCTGTGGCCGGCAGAAGCTTCATGCAAACACGTCAACGCTAAATGTCACCAGGCCTCATCCACGCTGACCTCCTGCACATCTGGACTCAAACATAAACGGTGTGGCAAACAAATTTTGACACAGCTGATTCCATTCCCGAGCTGCTTCTGATCCCCTATGCGCCGGGCCAGCTGTCGAGTTGGAACAAGTCGTCGCTTCGGCGGTGCTGAACCTGCAGCTTCATGTGGGGGCGTGGGCTCGCTCGGCACGTTCAACATCCGCCTTTCTCTCGACCTCGCTGTCTCAGTGGCAAAAGTGCGCCCATTTCCTGCTACGTGCGCAATCTGTCCGGTGCGCACAAGCTCTGCAAACATCTGCGCTAAGCAATTCATCATCCATATAAACTCATTGACGTGTGCATCAATTGTGTCCCGCTTGCAGAGCGGGCATGAAGAGCAGCTGGCTGCCCATCTCTCAATGCATGGGCTACAGAAGCGGTGGCTGCAGGAAGCCACCTCATTGCTTTGCCAACCAAACCAGGAGAGTGTGCAGCAACACGGTATAAAATGCAGCATCAAACTTTGCATCTCACCTGCGATGCTGATGCCGGCATGACATGCTCCTGTCAGATCAGCATTTCACAAATCTTTTTGCCCTCATCTCCAAAATGTTGCTGGCTGCACTGCCCAACGGTGGCCACCTGGCAGATCGGACAGGCAAAGGCAAGCCGCTCCGGCTGCGGCGGCTGCGGCAGCTTTGGCCCCACATCCTCCATACCAGACGAACACACTGAACGCTCTCCTGCTGCCTTTGCAGGAACACTACAAAGCGGCCACCTGATGCTGCTGTTGATCTTGTCTGCTAGAGTCTCTAGAGATTTACTGACAGAACTTAATGCCATGTGGGGTTGCGTTGCAGATTCTGTGCTGTCCAGCCTTGGGCCAAAGGTCGTGGTGTCATGTGATCGGCCAGGGGCATTGATGTTCTAAGGAGGCGTCGATACCACATGAATCTGGCAGCAATTCCAATTTTTCGGCGGTTGCATTGCGTTCACTCGATTTCGAATGAAGCCCGTGAAGCAGCCTGTGGGGCAGCTTGCTCAAGAACAAGAAGGTGGCCCCTTCTGTGATTTTCAGGCTTCCTACCAAGAGCATCTTGCATCATCATGCATCATCGCATTATTCCATCTGTGAGCTTCTAGAATTTGGTGCTGCAGGCTACAATCATGCGCTGTTCGCCTCGCCCTGCGCAGCTTCGGCAGCGCGCCGTTCGCGCACAAGGCGCACAAGTGCCTTGAAGTGCTCCTGAAACGGTTTAACGTGCTTCTGCAATGCATTGAATGCAAAGTGCCTTGAGAGACATGCATTTCATTAGATGCGTTAACTGGATGGGTCTTCGTCAAGTGTGTGATGATCTCGCACAAGCTCAAACGTGATGCTTTGTATCATCATGAAAACATGCCCCAGTCCTTGTTTCCGAAGATGTCTTCCTGCAGGGACAACTAGCTACCACATCACACTCTCGTGGTCATCCCTTCATGCCTTGGGTGGCCCACGCCGCTGTTTCTCTTGGCGCAGAACGCCCTCCTACAGGGAGCTCCCACAATGGACATGTCCTTTGTCTGAACGCCCGAGCTTTGTCAAGGACTGCCTCGTGCTTCTTCCAGAGCAGCTCACGCTCGTTGAGGCCCACAGGCACGGGCTCCGGCATAGCACACCCAGAGACCTGGACGTGCACCCGCGCGAGAGATGTTCTGCGAGCATTGAGACATGCCTTGGATATCCGAACGCCTTCGCCGTTCATCATGTATCGCCTCATTGCCGCATGAAGTCAGACGGGCAGGCAGCCAGGACAAGAGCAGGCCACCCAGGGTCCAGTTTACCCATCCTCTTGCCTCTTGACTCTTGTCGGCTGCTTGGTCACGGGATCCACCAGCACGACGTTGGTGATGTGGATGGGACACCTGAGTCAAAAGAAAATTGAAGGGTCTCTAGGTCCAGAGACATCCAGCATCCGTATCCAAGATGCTCTACAGAGACAATTGAAGGCTTGCCGGGTCCAGGCTCGGGGTGCCAGAAGCCTGCAAGAAGGCTCAGCAAAAAAGGGAGACAGCATCTGACAGCTTAGGCTCAGTAAGGAAGGATCTCTGAGGCATCAGCTTCGCTTTAAACTGACGCCCGACACAACCACCTGCACAGGCTTGCGCACATCAACGCTGAGTCACAGGTAGTGCACCTGTTGCCAGTTTGCACGTGGCCTGGTTCTTCTCCCTGACTATTCGGCTGATGACCCCGTGCTTGCCCTTCTCACTGCCATACAGGACACGGACGCGATCTCCAACTTTGATGTTCATCTCCTTGGGTTAGCTGGCATCTTAGTTCTGATGTCTCGTCTGCCATCCTTGCACAAATTGCTTCAGAGCTGCCCTTGCCAAGTCCACCTTGCAAAGTCGTCTATCGACATCTCTGGGGTCTGGCGGAGATGGCCACTTCGATGGTTCTTTGCTAACAGCAAGGAACGGAAGCCTGCATCTACAAATCGCAAAGCGGACTTCGTTGTGTCGCTTCTAAACGACCGAAGAAGCAAAATGATGGCATAAGCCCGTAACATTGGCTGCGCGGCACGTGCTGCCAAGCCACTGCCGGTATCTTCTTGTTTTCTCTTCCTGCCGAGCACATCAGCTAAGGCTGCGTTTAAAGACGAGAAGGCGGGGAATCTTAAGATGCAGCTTCACTCGCTCCTCCCGTATGCGCTTGAAAAACGGCATGATGCCGCCTCAGCTCAGATGCATACTGACAAGACTTGCCCATCAGTTTATCGTTGCTCTTTAGCGTGCCCTCCCAAGCTCGAGTGCGGCTTGGCTTGCGCCCCCCTTGCTACAAGTGCCGATGGCAGTCGTCCTGTACCCCTTGCATTGTGTGCAAGCCTGCCGGTTCACAAACGGAGTTATGCGGGCTTTAGGCTGGCGCAACACAGAGCGCCTGAAACTCCGTTCCGGAGTGTAGCACTTGAACTCAGTCAAATTTATGTTGAGGGCTCTGACGGGCGCTTAGGGTTCAGCACGGAAACTAGGATCTAAATGCTTGATGGCTTACAGGAATCTTAGAGCTCCTGCTGAGCGAACCTCGAGTTTCGGTAATGTCAAGAGGCCGATGGCACTAATGACACACAGAACTCATATCAAATGTAATACATCAACAAATCAGAGCAAATTGGCAGATGCCTGGCTGGCCAGTGTCATCTTGTCAAATGGAAGTCGCTGAGAGAGCGCATGCTGACGAGCTTCCCTTTACGCGTGGCTTCAAATGTTTCGCCAAGCATGTCAGCGAGCGGAACATGGCTGCAAGGCTGTGCGTGTATCGAGCCTTAGCTCTACTCCTTGTAGCTACTGACCGAAGCAATCCTGGCTGAGCTGATGTACAACCGCGCAAATTGTCATAACCAACTTCCTTGGCTAGAAGTGGACCACCTCCTTGTTTCAGTTACAGGCCCCGGCATGCAGCTGCTAGCATGTCCCTCTGGGCCCCACAGCGTGAAAATCTGTAAAGTTTGCTTTTGCTACAGCTCTCTCAAGCAGCTAGAAGGAGCTTTGGAGCTTTTTCATGCAAAGCTCTGCGGAGCTCCTTGGGGGGATCGGAGAGCCTCCTGTACATGGAAATCTCACGGTCGAACTCCAGGAAGTTCCTCGCTTTAGCTACCTCCTTCAACAAAGACACATTGCTCAGCTGCTTGATGCGCGTGCGTTCCGTTCGCATCTCTTGCATGGACTGCTGCCTGAAAGCTTCTTCATCATCCTCCCTCCGAGCGTGTGCAATAGCAGACCTCTTGTCGGCCCAAGAGAAGAGCTCAGAGTGGGAGAACGGGAGTCCAGGTCCTGGGGGCTCCTGAAGCAAGAGCTGCAGCGTCTGAGAATGGCAGAGGCTTAGCTTTGCCGAAGGCTTGCCTCTCGCTCGGATGCGACCAGCTCTCTGCGGTGACACCGGCGAAGCTGGGCTGGACGGGCTTTTTGGGGAGCAAATGGCCGATGGGGACAGTGGTGCTGGGGTACACACTTTCTCAACGAATCGGCTGGATCTGGAAGGTGACATCTTCGGTGAAAGGCTGGGCGAGCGCGCGCTCTTTGGCGAAAGTGGGTCAGAGCGTCCGTATGTCATCGGGAATTCATAGACTGCAGGATCAAGGTGGCCCCTTCCCTGTGTCGAAACTTCAACCATGTCCCATCCGAGCAGTGTCTCGCAGTCCTGAAATGCCACCACACTGCATGTTCGGGCAGCCAGTACTTTGCTGACTTTCAAGCTTCGCACCGCTCCCTCCACACACATGGGCTGCGGGAAGGAACGCCGATGAAACCGCTCGGTCCCCACCGCGGCTTCCATCACGCCCCAAGTAAAAACACGTCCATGCGCGGTCAATGCAATGGCATGATCTGTGGCAGCGCTGATGCAGGTCACGCAGATTGAGAGCTGCAAGAAGGTCGGTATTGCAGCTGGGACCGCTCCGTTTGCCGCCGACCGGCCCAAGAGCACGTCCGCCTGCCCGAAGGAAGGCCAACTGTAGGCCACACCACGCCCAGTAATCGCAAAGTTTGCATTCTCACCAGCGACAGTGCCAACAAACATGCTCTCGGTTCGACCGCCTGTAGTTCCAGCTGCAGGGGCCAATATTGCTTGCGGTTTGCCAGCCTTGGAATGAAGAATAACTGCTTCAGGCAACGCGGATGAAACTGCGGGGCCTTCATCTTGCAATGGAGTGAGGTTACAAAGCAAGGTTGGCACCAGCACATCACCAGGCACCATCTTCAAGCCCAACTCCTGCAAGTCTGGCAGACACCTCCGCGCCTGCCCCTCAGCTGGAGTCACTTTGTTAATGACCTGGAAAAGCAGAAAGGGACACGCAGTGGGATGTTGGCCATATGTGCCTGGACGCACAGTACCTTTGGAAGGGGCGGCACGGGGCTGCGCCAGTGGCATCCAGCATGCAAGGCCAAGTCCTTTACCAGAGCCCCACGCCCAGGCTTGGCCATCGCAATCAAGCGCTAAATTGCTCTGCGGCCCAGCAGACACGCTCTGCAAGCGGGGCAACACAGCCCCAGAGTTGCAGGCGGCAGTCAGACTCTCCCCGCGCTGTGGTTCCAAAAGGCCAGCCGATCGCATCTCTGCTGTTGCCACTCCATGCGTTGCCGCCCAAGGCTGCAAACAGGTTGCTTGGCTCACTACACGCTGCTCAAGCTTCTCAGGCCGTGGCCAGCCGATGCCGCACTGACCGCAGTCATTCTTGCCCCAAGCAAATATTAGACCATCATCTGTCAGGAGCAGAGCATGATGAGCACCACAAGAGACCTGGCAAGTCTGCGGCACATGCCCTCACATACTCAAACCGGTATCTTGGTATTTACCCTCAACTACAACTTGTGCCCATCTGATACTATCTGGCTCCTCCAGCCTGCACGACGCTGGGCAGTGCTGCCAGGAGGCGATGGTGCTGTAGCACAAAAGGCCCTGCCAAATTCAAAGTTTCTGGCGGGCCTATCAGCTCGGCACCTACATGGCTTGGGACGCAGAAGGCCCTTCCACTACGGCCCACAAGGATCGCGAAGGAGTCTGCAGCATCCACGCCAACCACTGGCTCTGGTGCCTCGGCCATGGACGCCAACCAATCCCGCGGAGGATCAGGACGGGCGCTCATCACTTGGACATGCAAAGGCTGCAGAGCTCGACCTGCAGTAAAGGGAACCGAGTCGAAGCTATGCATTGCTCGCGCTTCGGCTCGCTGCAGTGCCAGTAGAGTCTGGCGCTCGGCAGCAAGTCGCAATGCCAGTCTGGACATGAAATGTTGCAACCTTACCTGGCGAGCACGCCAGCTCCTCTGTAGCTGCAGCGCGGCCATGTTGCACGCTTGCAGCCTTTCGTCTTGAAGCTCAGCTCGAACACGCTGAACATGGGATCGCACGCGTGTCGCCCATGCCACTTCGGCCCTATCAGAGATCATTCGCTCACGCGTGTCGTCTGTAATGCGACGGCCCGTGCGCCTTGCGTAGGCTTCCCAGTCAAAGACGCGACCGCTGCGCAAGTACATGCCCTTGACGTATCTGGACAGCACCTCCATCGCAGCTTGCTTTCGGGTGTCCTCCACGTACCAGGCCATTCGCATTCTGATTTTCAAGGTCCGCAGTATGGTGCACAAGGTCCTGTGATTGTCAACATAGTTGCTCTCTGTTTGCCGCCCCAGAAGCATCTCCCGTGACAAATAGCAAGACACGAAGCTCCTCAGTGTGTTGCTGGCAGCTTGTGCTAACTTCTCGAACCGAACTTTCCGAGCAGCCCTTCGTCCCAAAGCCCCGCGCCATATTGCCGTGATCTTCACACTCGCTAGACTGTAGCGCACATGGTAAGCTAGTTGTGCCCGCTGCTTGTATGCTCGAACTACAGAATGCCAAAGGTCAGCTGCGGAATCCACCGTCTGTTTCCGCAAACAAGCCCGCAGAGTTTGCTGGGCTGCAAACCTTTGACAAACAGTTTTCAATGTTTGCGTTGCAACTCGCTGTTGCTCAGTCTGGTACCGGACGCGCTGGAAGCCACCGCGTGCACATGCTTGAATGTAAAGTACAGCTTCATGCTCGCGCCTTTCAGCGAGTTGCTTCCTGAGCTGTACCCCCCTCAGTGCCACGCGTATCAAGCTCTCAGGCTTGGCTTGAACCTGCCGACGTACGTGCAGTCGAGAAAGCGCTTGCTGAGCCTCGACCTTCTTCTCGAGCGCAACGAGAAGCGTTTGCAGACGTTGGACACACAGGCTGTGCACACGACGTCTCGCAATGGCACATCGGCACGCATATTGCAAGCGTTGTGCTGCGGCCTGCTCCTTGAAGCTCGCAAGGCGGATCCTCAGCGCGAGGCTCTTCAGAACAGGCGCCAGAGTTTCAAAACACTTTGAAGCCTCACGCATCTTCATCATTTCCACTTTGGCAACACGTCCACGCTGTAAAGTTTGTAGCTTCATGCAGGATGAAGCTACATCGGCTCGCGCTGCAAGGTAGCGCATGCGTACAGTCTTGAACACTGAAGAGACCAGCTTTCGCTCTGGCTCATGCATCTCTGAGATCTCTCCTGCCTCAAGTTCTTCGCTTACTTCCCCAGTGTTGTCCATTGCTAAGGCTGGACCTCGCTGGTCACTGGCCTTTCGCTGCCGCCACAGAGCTTTGAGCAACTGACACGGCCCCATTCGTAGATAATACACAAAACAGACAAGTACCTAAACAAGGAAGACAGCATGCTTTTCCGTGCGCGCTTTGCTTCGCCTGACTCGACGTCGCAAGGGCCTCAATCGGTCGGGCTGTAAACAACAGAATCTTTAAACATATGGTGCATTGACAGCGTGTCTCTGTAAAAGCAGGCGCGATATGTTTGTTGAGTCTGGAACGTACCAACCATATTCCATGCATTCGGCCGAAAATCTCTGGCTCCTCTTCCTCGAGTCAGAGCGGAAAATGATGAAAGCAAATCACGTGCCAGCAGCGATTCTGACAACAGATGAGTCACCTCCAACGAGTGCCACAGTCTAAGATCTGCCATCTTCACATCAGGCTCCTTTGCAAGGAGACACTGCTTCTCAAGTCGCACTGTACCAGTAGCAAAAAAGTCCTTTGTGAAGCGTTTGGCGAAACTGCGCCGTGCTACTAGCTCGGTGTTGACCTAAACATAGCCAGGCAATCGTGCCACTGAACAGGACTCAGGCTCCTGAAGCCGTGACATCAAGGAAGAACACGCCCAGCGGCGACAGCCTGCATCTCACGCATGGCTTTACATGGCCAAGCTACAAAAACAAAAAGTGGTCGCATGCTGCATTTGCCATATTCGCCTTGCTGCCGCAACGGGCCCCTCCAGCAGCTCGCGGAGAGTAAACGTCCTTTCAGCGGATGCCGACTTGTGTTGCTGCGGGAGCATATCTATATCTACATGTAATTGCATGTGTACTGTAGATTCGCCTAGGCTCCGGCGAGCCAGGCTCTAGCCTGTTGTCTGGGAGCCTCTTGGCCCATGGAGGCCTATGGAAGCCCATCAGAGGCCCCGCGCCTGCAGGCGTGCCTCTTTACCTCACTAGACCTTGCATATCCCTGCACTGATCACGGCAGATAAACAGAATCTTTCAACCTGTTTTTGAGATTTTTACCCCGCAAGTTGATCCAGGCAACGGGTTGACTCTGGCAGCTTAAGGTTTCCGGCAGGTGAGCAGGACATTGCAAGGATTCAGGGCGCAGTCTGCACGTGGTCTACGCTACCTCCGACCGCGCACGAATATGGCATGCTCAGAGCTTGCACGCTTCCTACGAGCTCCCCCGTCCCGCCTGTTGCAAGTTCGGCAATGGAGGCGGATGCATGCTAGCATTTACAATCTTGAATCTGTTGAATATTTGGTGCCAATTATCACTGAGTCCTCTCAGCCGGGTGGAAGAGGAGATCGAGCAATCCGGAATAGGTGAAAAACTCCTTCATAGCTGTTTCATGCTAAAAGCCATGTCGCTCAAGGTCATTCTGGGGCGCGAGCAGGGAAGTGGATCAACATCTCCCGGGCCTCTTTCGACTCCGGATCCTGTGTGTGACAACGACATGCAATGCTCGTTCGGCACCTGGACCTTCCTTTCGGCGCCTCCTTTGGAGCAGCCAGCACTTCACGGCGCAAAGCACGCACCTGGACAGAGCCGATCTGACCAGCTCAGCAAGTGCTCAAAGGAGGGCCTCTGGGCGTGAGGGCGTCCTGGAACCTGCCCAGGATCACTTCGAATCTACGTTTGCCGTCTCAGAACTGGAATGGCAGATCGATCCTGGCAGTATCTGCCGGGCAGCTGGCAGCTTCTCCAGCCAAGCCTTGATATCAACCACTCAAAAGAACTCCTTTTGAACCAAAGTTCTTGTACTCCGCTTACTCCGCCACCTCGACTTGCGGCCGCCACGTTTGGAAGCTGAATGTGGAGTACGTAGCAAGCTGGAGAACCTTACTGGCTCCACACTCATGCCCGCTTGCCGAAGCACTTAGTGCAGGCTTTATGGATTTCACAAGCCTGGAAAGCTTGGAAAACCATCCTATGACAGCCGAATACATGTGCTCAAGCGTTTCAGCTGTGTGTACGTGCGGCGGACCGCGTTTAAGCAGTTTGGGTCAAAGTAACAACCTGCCTCTCAGTAGAGGATGCGAGCAGTCCGAAACACGGAGCTCACAAGAGTTGAAGTGATGTCTGAGCGGCTCACGTGTGCAGTGGCATAACATGGCATGATGAAACCTTCTCTGTTGTGAAGGCTACAAGCCTGCTAACACATTCTCAACATATAGCTGGGACAAATCCAGTGGCAAAGAATATTTTAGCCAATGCTTGAATTGGAACAGATATGTAAGCCCGTGACACCGTCTGGAACGAGCAATGATGCGAGACGTTGCAGCCCCAGAGATGGATCTGCCAGATGATGCCTTGGAGGATGGGTCCCTATCCACTTATCTCAGCTTCATGGCACCTGAACAATATCCAAGCTTCAGGCAACACTCCGCAGCAGACGATGAAGTTGAATCCGTCTCGCAGAAGGGCATGATCTCCGAGCATCAGCCACCATATCCACCATCAGGGGTTGAAGCTGGCTTCCTCATCCTTCCTCATGTGCTAGTCGGGCCTCGATTAAGTTGCTGGATGTCCCCCACAAGGAATTTGATGCGAGCCTGGTCGCAGTCTTGATTGACGGGTGTCACATGTCCCAAGGCACAATACCGAGGCCGTGGCAAACTCCGCACTCGTCAGGACTTGTCGCAGCTTCCGTTTGGCGGCAGCCATGGTCTTGCAGGCCAGCTTTTGTAGCTGGTACTTGTCTTGCATGATTACGTGCAGCTTCCGCAAAATAAGAAACACTTCTTCTGCATATGTCCCAGTCTCCTGCAAGCATGAACATCTGAGCCCCTCACGCTGGCAGACACGTCCAGGGCAATAAGCTGAGCACACGAGACACTCGCTTCTACTTGGGGGAGCGCTCACCCAACACACACATCCGTACACGGGTCACAGTTTGCCGGATGCCAAGGCCTCGGAAGCGCCTTCCAGCTCTGTGCTGCGCAGCTCCACAGCTACCTGATGGCCTCACCCCGTCAACCATGGGCCCGCAAGATGCCGCAAGTATGCAAACGAATGGGTCTGATGGTCAAACTCGTGGACAAAGACCATGCTGCATTCCTTGCACGAACTGCTTGCGCCTGAGCCACAGCCGGCAACCAAGATGCGAGGGTTGCACACCTTGTCAGATGAAGCGATTTAAAGCCTGAATGCCAACATCTTTGACCTTCCCCATACGTCAAGTCTCTGATCTCACAGGTAAAGGTGCAGCTTTAGTAACCCTTCGAAAAGGTGAGCCTTCTCTGGAGTCCAAGTTGGAGAGATGTGCTGCAAACGCACATGCAAAGGAACCTGGGCTGTTGCAAGAAAGTGTAGTTCTCTCAAGGTCAAGGAACAGCTCTTTTCTACTTTTGAGGGCCCGACAGGTACGACGCCAACGCTTTCGACTGCATCATGCCACGGTGGATACCTCGAACGCCAGGCGCCCACAACCTGCAAGTGACCAATGCTCTGAGTGCAAACCCGAGGTTGCGGCAGAGTCAAGTCCTTGCAGTTCCATTTCTGCACGACTCAATATCAGGATTTCATGGGGCTCGTACGGATTGGCTTGAGCTTACGAGAGCTTGTCAGCCATTTGTGCATCACTGACTGATACACTGTTCTAAGAGCTGCTCATAGAACTCGCAGCAGGGAGATGCCGGCATGGCCGGCTTGGAGACGTGCTCCAAGGTCTACAGCAGCACCGCTGCCCAACCCAGACAACAATTGCATGCTTCACCAGGCCTTCATGAGATCTTGCTCTTCCTTTGGATGCTTGCGCGTCCTCAAGTTGATGTCATTGCCACATCCGCAACTCCCCACAACTCGACATAGACCGCCTGCAGATCAGCTCGCCCAATTCAGAGATGGAGCTCATGGCCTCCTAGCGAACAGAGCATCTTCGTTCAGAAGTGATGACAACGCCAGGGTCGCGCACACCTGCCGCGCAAACCTCTGCATTTTCAGCTCTCGAGTGCGCCGTTTGCAGCATTTGCGTTTTTTTGTTGGTATCGCTTGTCTGTGCCTTTCTGGCATCATGTTGGGGTCCTGCGGCTGTTTCAGTACGCTTCTGAGTCACGGGCTTCAGGTGTATGGCTTCAAGCAAAGACAACGATTCCTTGCTATCATCTGCGACATCTCTAGCAAGTCCAGCTCTTCTAGTGTTGGACTGGCACCCCTCCAGCCCTGTTCCGGGAGCTTGGAACAGCTTTTGTTTGCCATCGCCTCTAATCGGGTTGGGAGTCAAGGTTTACGGCTGCAGGTTTGGGTTAGTGGTATGGGCTTGGGTGTTCATGTCTCACGTGCGCAGGCACGACAGTTGAAATTCTGCTCTTTGGGATTGTAATTCTGCAGTGGGCCTTTAAAGCCTGAAGGGTTTGGGGTTCAGGCGTTTAGGATGCTGTCGGGTCCCTGCCGTGCTGTGCTGCGAGCTTGTGTCGATCCACCTTCAGTATCTACGAAGGATTTGTGGGCAGGCCTTCCCATTTCCCATGTGCTCCGAACAGTTCGTCCATGGTTGAAGAGCACTAAGAGTTCTGTGTATGGCCATGGGTTTGGACGACGACTTGCAAAATCGAAGGGTCCACAGCGGCGAGACAACTATGAGAACAGCACTCCCGGCCCTGCTGAAGCAAGCACTTTTCTATGCCTAGATTCTGTGCAAATCGCCGGTTCGACCTGCTGGCAACTTCCAACAGTTTAAACACTAAAGCCAAGCTTGGAAAGATGTGGCCAGGAGACGAGCCGACGCCACGAAGTTACAACCAGACCTACTTACTTCAGGGCGTCGAGCCCCAATCCTTACGCTTGAGTGCACGGTTTGAGGTTCAACGTTTAGCATTCAGGGTTTAGGGTTCGAGTGTAGATTTTAAGGTTTAGAGTTTAGGCTTCGGGTTTAGAGTTTAGGGTTTAGCGTTCAGGGTTCAGAGTTTAGGCTTTAGCGTTCGGGATTTAAAGTTTAGGGTTTGCGTTCAGGGTTTAAAGTTTAGGGTCAGCGTTCAGGGTTTAGCATTCAGGGTTTAGAGTTTAGGGTTCGGGTTTAGATTTTAAGGTTTTGAGTTTAGGGTTCGGGTTTGAAGTTTCGGTTTTGGGTTCAGGCTTCAGAGTTTCGGGTTTCGGGTTCAAGGTTCAAAGTTTAGGGCTTGGCATCCAAGGTTTAGAGTAAAATGTTCGGGTTTAGAATTTAAGGGTTAGGGTTCAGGGTTCAGAGTCTAGGGTTTAGGGTTCAAGGTGTAATGTTTTGAGTTCAGAGTTTAGGCTTTAGCGTGCAAGGTTCACAGTTTAGGTCTTCGCTTTCTACGGGTCAGGTTTAGAGTTTTTCGTTTGGGGTTCAGGGTTCAAGGTTTAGCATTCAGGGTTTAAGGTTCAGGGTTAAGAGTTCAGGGTTCAGGGTTTAGCATTCAGTGTTTTTTTTTTGCGGGACCCTTTCTCCAGAGATCCAAACCCCCAGGATGCTCCTTGAGCACGGTCCAAGGACATTCCATCCCGACCCAAAACACACCAAGAAAGCAGGCTCAACTACTGCAAGTGGCCAACACCTTGCTCTTCACCTGTGAAAAAAACTGCCACACCGCCCAAGCGTCGTTTCTGACCGAGGGCAAATAAACAGGTTTCCACATCACTCAAAGTGCAGGTTACACGCACAATCCAAGATCCAGTGATTGTCATTTCATGCACCTGGCAAGGAAAAGCTTTACAGCAGCCAGCGGGATAAATCTGTCTGTCTAGGTTCCCTACGCCCCTCAGTCACTCGCAGCTGCCGCCGCATTCGTCCCCTCATGACCCTCAATCTCTTCCGCCCCTGCCATTTGCGCTGGGGGCGGCATCGCTCCGTCTGCCAGCCCTCCATGAACATGTCCGTCATCGCGACCCTCAGCCCCGCCAGAGAAACGTCACCCACACTGACCGCAGGATTAGCCCCTTGTTCGTCATCTCGCATGGCGAAGTACCTCCCTAAGCCAAATCTTGACCCTATCAGCTTGCACATAACTCTGCCACTCTTCCATTCCTGGAAGAACTTCTGCCCTATCACAGATGCAACAAACTCCCCCACATCGAACTGGTGCTCAGGCGAGGTGCTCTCGTCGTGAGACAGCCAAACCTCCGGAGCATTTTCCCCCGTCACCGGAAGCAAGATGGCGGTGTCAGCTGGACCCCCTTCAGCGGCCATCTCGTCCGCATTCTCCTCTCCATTGTGTCCAGGAATCGGAACTACAGGTGCCATAGACGAAGAGGAGGACAAAGACAGCTGCACACTGACCCCATAGACTAGCTTCTCGCCATCCCTGACCGGTATCAGGAAGTTGGCATCTCGCACAATCCTGGGTCCCTTTCCTTGAACGAAGATTTGGACCCTAGCTCGCTTCCCTCTGCCTTTCCATTTCCGCAGCCTCCTCTTCCAGCAACTCATTGAACGCAATCTCATCCTCCTCAGCTTGCGTAAGTGGCCGGACTTCCCCATTGTCCATCTTGACCATCTGCTTGTAACTACCGTCCTCATCCACCTGGTCTGGATAACATCCGTAAGTCTTGTAGTGTCCTGAAGGTTGCCCTTCTAGGTACGGACGTAGCAGCAGCCACCTGCGCAAGCACCACTGCTGCTCACTTTCCTCCACCTCAACGTCTTGCTCCGCAAAGACCGTGAGTAAGGCGTGAAGCCTTTGCCGTTTCTCCACCAGGTCTGGCCTCCGTAGTTGGGGTGCTGGGTTTTGAGTTGAGGGTTCGGGTTTAAATTTTAAGGTTTAGCGTTTAGGAGTTTAAGGTTTAGGCTTCAGGGTACATAGTTCTAGGTTTGGTGTTCCAGGTTCAGAGTTTAGCGTTCAGGGTTCAGAGTTTAGGGTTTAGAGTCTAGGGCTCAGCATCACAAGCCCAAGCATTCATTCCAAGAGCAGCTGGTCTAAGCCATAGAAAAAGACCCACCCACCCACCCATTGGGTCCCACAGCATTCATAAACAAATATATATATATATCTCATTTTCAAAATATTTCAACTCATGAAGCGACGCCCTTAGCTCCGGACCCTAAATCCAAGCCTTGAACCCCAGACTCTAAGCCTTGAGCCCTAACTTATACCCTAAGCCCCGAACCAACTCTAAGCCCCGAGCCCCGAACTCAAAGAAACCCTAAACTCTACGCGCTGAGCCGTGAGCTCTAAGCCCTGAAGCCTAGAACCCTAAGCCCTACGCCCTGAGCCCTAAACTCTACGCCCTGAACCCTAAACTCTAAGCCCTGAACCTCAGACTCTAAGCTCTGAGCCCTAAACTCGGAACCCGAGCACGAGACTCCAAGCCTTGAACCCGAGACCCGCAGCTCTGAAGCCTAAAATCTAAGCTTAAACTGCGAGGCCCAAGCCCTAGACTCTCAGCCCTCAACCCAAGACTCTAAGGTCCCCGGCATGGATTTTTTAAATGCCTGCCCGCATAGTGAAATTAGGTAGGGCATCCACAGCCCCAGGTGGGGATTTGTGGAATGCCTGCCCCCACAAAAAGGTAGGATTTGCAGCTTGGAATGCTTGCGCCATAAAAACACACAATTTCAGCGGCCCCAGGGGTGGACTTTTTAAACGCCTGCCCGCATAACTAGGCAGGGCATCCACAGCCCCAGGTGGCGATTCTTGCAATGCCTGCCCCCACAAAAAGTAGGACTTGCAGCTTGGAATGCTTGCACCAATAAAGCACAGAATTTCCAT